TGCGCTCGATTTCGGAGAAGTTTGCGGCGCGTGCTGGATATCGTGGCGAGGATTTTGCGAGTGCACGTTGAGGGCTTCGACGCGGCTCCAGCCCGAGGCGTGGGCGCTGGTGCTGCTGAGGGCCTTCGGCGATGAGGGTGCCGGGGTCAGGGATGTTGGGGAGGCTGGAGTGCACGGTGAGGGTGCGGGGGTCGTAGACGAGGTCGTAGATGGGCTGGGTGTTGGGGTCGGAGCCGCGGCTTGAGGAGGTGGTTGTGTGTGGGTTTGATGCGGCGAAGAGGCGCGCTGCGACTTTTTCGGGCGACGTGTTTCTGTCTAGGGATTGGTGGAGGGGCGAGAAGAAGTTGTGTATGTCGCGGTAAAACGAGGCAATGCTCAGGGCGCTTGTTCGATGGCTGAACAAGAAAGTATATATGAAAGGACGATGCTGGTCATGTGTTAGCAGGTGATGAGGCTGTATATGTCAGTCAACTCACCACGTAGACGACCGGACGCAACCGAGAAAGTCCGGTGTCTGATCTAGAATCAGTACTCGGCTCCCTTTCGAAAGTCGGCCTCTCCCAAGGCGTCATCTCCTCTGACTCCGCACTCCCCGAACTCGATGCGTCGTCTCCTTCTGAAGGAGCTCAACATGCACTGTGCGAAGAGGGATACGATGATTCCAATCGTCGTCCTCTTCATCCACTTCCGCATCGTACATATCACCCTTAAGTCCGATAAGGAAATAGCCATCGTTCTCTTGGCGGATTTGCATCTTGAGCTTCTCTTCTGCCAGGTCAACATCCGGTTCCGGCTCGATGTACCGCATAGCGGCTGGTGATGGGGAGCGTTCGCGCGTAGGTTGCCGTTTTGCTGCGGGGCGCACTTCATCCTCAGTCTTCTTTCCACCACCCCATGCTGTGCCATAGCCAAGCGTCATGTACTTCATCCAAGTTTCCGTGTCGCCCAACGAGGCGAGGAGCGGCTTTTGGTCCTGACCAGAACTCTTTTCGCCCTTGTCCACGCCAGCAGACGCCTTGTCCAAGGACTGCTCGACAGCTTTAACGATTGGTGGTGGTATGCCAGGCGGAAGATCAGATTCACGTTTTGATGCTGCAACCTCAGATCGGTCCTTGGGCGCTGGCTTCCTGTTCTCTGGAGGTGGACTTGTCGGCGCCTGGACGTTACGCCTTTTGCGTTTTCTGCGATTCGAAGTAGGAGTTCTCACGTATGCCATACGCTTGATCTCCGTAGCAGTAGATAGTCTCAATCCACTGGGACAAATCTCGCAGTGATGCTCGACTCACTGCTCCCATGCCAGAGAAGACAACACCATCGGGTGCACCCGGGCTCCTGCCACTGCCCATCCACGGCTCCAACTCGGACGCCTCAAGATGCTTGGGATCTGTGGACGACTTTGCGTGCTGTAGCGACGACGGCTCCCCGAAACGTGACACCATGACGTCCACCAGCCCTTCCGTCCTGCGCGCAAAGTCCTCGAGCACATCTCGCTCGCTGCTGCCCCAGTCTTCCTCGCCCACGCCCATGCCCAGCTCACCGCCGGCCGCGAGCTTCAGGCCGCTGTACATGTCCACTGCCGGGCTCCCGTGCAGAAGCACATCCCAGTTGGCGGCGAAGCGCGACCAGTACTTGTCGAGGATGTTGCAGAACTTGTCGCGCTTGTGCTTGGCGAACATGTGCTCGAGCGTCGTGCCATGGTGAAGGAGGAATATCGAGTGTGCGCGCACGAGCTGCTGGATCAGGAGCGCAGGCGGCGCGACTTCGCGCGACGAGTACTCGATGACGGGCTCGTTGACGCTGGTGCTTGAGTCGGTTCGCGTGAGGGAGGCGGCAGGCAGCTGGGTGAGGTCGATAGACTACGAAGTGTCAGAAAGCCGTCTGTTAGAGCACACATGCTCCGCTTACGGCCAGAATCCACCATCCCGCCTCGAGCTCATGCAGCACTATGCGCGACTTCTGCGTTTCCACAGAGTCTACCGCCTCGCCATTGGAGAAGCTCTTCGCAAATCCCACCATACCCTGCGCCAGCCCGACCTGCCGCAGCTTCTCATTCTCCTGCTCTCGTAGCTCCTCGTCCCGTCGTGTATCTCCATTGCTGAGCTTCGAGCGCGCCTTGGCCGCCCGCGAGTAGTAGAAGACAATCTGCTGGTGGAACGTCTCGTCGCTCGTTCCAAGCGCGGGGTTATACACGGCCAGGAACGACAACTGCGCCGGCACGACCTTGGGTATCGCGGTGGATGACATGCCAGAGCAGAGCGTATGCGTGGCTCGTCACGATGGTGGCTGTCTGGGTATCAAATGTGCAAGATTCGCGGCTACGTCACACACCAGGTAATCGCGCCGAATGCGTGCACCACGACGGCCAGTCTCGAACAATCAGCATCGCTCTCGACCGGGCCCCGTTGGGCACTTGTACTGTGCGCCCTCATGCAATCTGGAATGGATCGCGATCACCAGCAGAAAGTGGCGCCAGCATGCAAGGATGTGGCTGGCCCAACGTGTGTCTAAACGCCATCCCACCTCGCCAGAGCGTTTGCTCCAAGCCCAATCCGGACGGCATGCCATTCCGCAAGTCGAGATCTGGGCTCTACACCGCATCCTTCGTCTGCCATGAAATTCTGGCACTTGCCGGCTTCGCTGCGTTCGCTGGCCGTGCAGCGACGTGGGTACAGCGTCACCGCGCGCCTGCATGAACCGCTGCGAATCCTCTTCTGCGGCTCGGACAACTTCAGCATCGCGTCGTTGCGAGCACTAGATGAAGAGCGACGCCGTGCGCCAGATCTGATACACTCGATTGATGTCGTCCACAGACCGGCCAAACCTTCGGGGCGCGGATTGAAACATCTGCGTGAAGGTATGTTCTAATTCCTTCACCGTCTATTTTCAAAATTTACCTATTGTCACACTTCACTTCCAGAAACCTTGTCCATGCAACTCTAACATACACAGTCCCCATCCACCCCGTCGCCCAGTCCCTCGCCCTGCCCACCCACACCCTCGACACCTTCACTTCCTGGACCCCCCCGACCCCCATCAACCTCATAATCGCCGTTTCCTTCGGCCTCCTCATCCCTCCACGCATCCTCTCCCTCGCTACCCACGGCGGCCTAAATGTGCACCCCTCCCTCCTCCCCGACCTACGCGGTCCCGCGCCCATAGAACACGCGATCCTCCGCGGGCGCGAACGAACAGGCGTGTCGATACAGACGCTGCACCCAACGCGCTTCGACCACGGCACGGTGCTCGCGCAGACGCCTGCGCCGGGGTTAGCGATAAGTCGGGATGCGACTGCGGCGAGGTTGGGCGAGGAGTTAGCGGCGGTGGGCGCGCGGATGCTGGTGGATGTACTCAGGGAGCGGATGTATCTTGCGCCGCATAGGGATGTGGGATGGTATGCTGGGTCGATTGCGCATGCGCCCAAGACGACTAAACAGGACCGGAAGGTATGCTTTGCGGAGAAAAGTCTGCATGAGATAGTGGCTGTTCAGCGCGCCTTGGGGGATCCTTGGTGTATGTTGAGTAATGGTGAACGACTGCTCATACATGAGTTGATCTCGGCGGATTCAATGGCGGAGCCGTGGCCCAAGGAGCCCGGTCTCTGGCTGCGGCACGATATCAAAAATCCCGTGATCAGAGCGAAATGCGGTGCTGTTGCCATTGTAGCGAGCAGCACATACCCGGGTACGAGAAAGGGTGGAGGCAATGCAAAGGTCATGCGTATGCTTTCGCCGAACAAGGCTTCTGAACTCGAACCTGAAAAGAGACTGGAAGGGGAATGGGAGAGAGTAGATGAACACTGAGAAGCATGTGTCGATGATGCATTTTTGTATAGACAACTTACCAGCTGAACGCCGTCCCAATGCAATGGTCTCTACGTGGAGCATCAAGTTGTCATCACTACCATGCGTCGCCCCAGCCCTCCTCTTCATCCTCCTTTGCATTTGGCTCTTCTTTCTTGATTTCTTTCTTCGGCGGGACAAGGACTTTTCTAGTGGTCGTTGCTGACCCAGTGGTACTCGACCGCCCACCAATGATCGGCCGGTTTGATTTAGCCCCTGGTACTGTTGACTTTGTCAAACCCTTCGGAAGCGGGCTCTTGATCGTTTTCTTGGCCCCTGACTGAGCTGCTAACCAGCCTGCAAAGTCCGGTTCGCCCTTGTCGTCGTACGATGTCGTTGACGTTGGTTTCGATACGGAAGGTGCACCCCAAGGATCTTCCTCTTCCTCAGCTGCTTGTCCTGTGGTCTCGTTGTCGTCGGCGAAACCTCCCCAATCGTTGTTGAAGTCTTCTGCTTCATCATCGAATGCCGCTACCGGATCTGGTGATGTGATGGTGGGTATGGTAGTTGTGCTTTTCGCCGTGTGTAGCTGCATGCCTGGTTTTGAGGCCAATGGTACTGGCGGTTTAGCTGCTGATGCTGGTGGGGGTACCGAAGATGAACGTTGATCTGCGGCGCCATTCGTGTTGGAAGACGCCCCGATATCGCCACTTGTGGATGCGAGCTTGTTTGTGAAACTCGAAATAGCCCATCCGGCCCAGGATGTATCATTCGCGGGTGTTCCCATTCGTGGTGCAGCTGCTCCTCCAGCAGTCACGCCAGGCGGTGGTAGTACAGTATCCGGCATCGTCGCGGCGAACTTTCGAATCCGCAAGATGTAGATGTCTACGCTCTTCTGAGCCTGATCTCGAATCATCTTCTCCTTGTCCACTAGAGAGGGACACATGATGGGAAGTAACTTGGATGCGCAGTCTTCCTCGCTGAAGAGATCAGCTGTTGCAGCTAGGGCCATGAGAGCAGCATTTCGAGCGTGAACAAAGGGATCACGAAGGGAGCGGGCGAAGGCGGCTGACAGAACCTTTGCCCGGCTGCTGGCCCCTAGATTCCTTGCAATCTTTCCGAGACAGATAGTTGTGTTCGTCCGAATCCCTGGTTGCTCATCGTTCGCTGTCTTTGCTAGGTGTCGCAGTAGCTCGCCGTTGATGATGCGATCTGACAATTTTGGGACTATGGTGAGGACAGCCTTGACTGTCTGCTCTCGCACCACTGGTGCGACATCTGAGAAACCAGTGACCTGAATGATCATTAGCTATCGAGCATTGTATATCTACTTTTTCCGAGCTTACCAATTGTGGAAAAATCTTGTCGTTGACAATCTTCTGTGGTAGATGGTCGATCATCATGGGTAGGTTGTCCAGTAAGCAGACTCGAATTCCTCTGTCCGGGTTTGCAAACAATCGAACAACGACCGGAGTGATTTGAGTCTCATACTCGTCATCAGAGAGCTTCTGTCCTATTTGCATCACCGTACTGAACACTTTGGCGCCGCCACCACCGAATTCGACAGATTTGAGCAGTTCGGGCAAGACTTTCATCTTGAAAAAGTCGGCAGGGAAATCATCCGCCACCTCATCTAGCTTTCTGTGAACCGTCAGTGCTGCATAATACGGCTGGCAAGTGGTGATTCTCTTACCCAAGCAGCTCATTCCTTTCTTCCTCCGCTTTGAGACCAAGATTGTCGATGTCTTCGGTGACTTGGATCAGTGGAGTCTGAAAAAAGCCCCCTATGCGCTTCCCCTGATCGAGAAATTGACCAACACTCATGCGTGCCTTCGGGCTAGGGTTCAGCAACCGTTTGTACGCCTGGTGCATGGTTGGTGGAATGCTCTTCATTTGCCCCAGCTGGTCACTGCTATTGTAGCTCCCATTGAACACCTCGAAGATCAGGACACCGAAGTTGTATGCGTCCACTGCATGTGTTGGGTTCTGCTTGATGACCTCCCAGCCGCCCTTGGAGACCTCCGGCGCCATGTACCGTCCGGCGTCCGGTATCAGACCACCATAGGTAGGTAATATCGAGTCGTCTTCCTTGACAGAGCTTAGTGCGTCGAAACCACCAAGTTTCCACTCGCCGCTTTCACTGAAAAATATGGAGGCCGGGCGTATACAACCATGTATCGACGAGGCGTCCGCATTGACGAACTTCAGCGTCTTCGCGATATTGTGTAGACCCCATTTTGTCGTCTCCTCGGTCAAGCTCTTCCGCTTCACATGCCAACTCAACGGACTCAGTCTTTCAGTGGCGATATAGATGTACGTTTCTGTCTCTACTGTGTCCAGGACTTTCACGACACCTGGATGGCGCAGGGTGCGTAGTTTACGGAGCGCATTTCGGGCGAGGGGCAGTCGATTTCGATTTGCAGTAATGTCAAAGGCGAATATGCTACACTTTGAGCCGTCTTCCTAGCGAATCCATGTTAGCTGGGACTGCCCCAGATATGTGTAGACATCCGGGCCATACTCGCTTTGTGCCGTTGTGCAATGTCCAGATGGAGTCGTTAAGATCCACGCGGTCTCCAAACGAGTAGCCAAACGCTGGCCCCTTGGAGATGGCTGACGCAACCGCAGACTTGAGGAAGTCCATTTCCACCAGATAACGCTCGAGAAGGATGTAGAGATGTGGCGGTGCTACATCCCGCCGGCGAGCACCTGAGGACAGATGCGCCTGCCCCACCGGAACCGGCCTGAGGCCGCAATTTGGCACGTGATTCCGCGTCAACTTCGGTTCCCACTAACGTCTAGCGCGTGCGTCCTCACTTGGAATCACAACCACAACCACCTTGACCAAGTCTTTGTTACTTTGTTACTCCAACCTACCCCATACCTAGCTCATATGTCCGTACGCAAGCTGCCTTTCCTATCTACTTCCAGAAAGCGGCGCCTTGTTCGGTCCAAGACGAGCAAACCGCGGTAGAACAGCGCCGATCAGTGGTCTGCATGTGGTCACGTCTGACGAAAGGTATGTTCAATCACCCCCAAGCGACGCCACACCCCACGAGCAAGATTGCATGATGACTACTGGTAAAAGGTTAGATCGCAGAAAGTCGTGATGGTTTCCCATGTGTGCTATTGCACGACTTTGGTATCGCTGGAGTTTATGCCTGCATGCAATGGTCCCACAATCGCACTCAGGAGGAAGCCTCCGACGGGCGAAATGCTGCTGTTACAATAAAACTGAAAAGATCTGATGCGCTCTGCCATCATCTGTTAACAAACGCGCTTATCGAGACCAACGCTGACTGCACGTCATCGACACACTAGAAATTAAGCAATTGCGGAGCACACATGACCTGATAATCACAAGGCTCTAATTATGGCTGATGCGACACGAGCTGTCAATTTGCAGAGCTGTGCGAGTGATCGTCCTACTGGAGACAAACTCCCAGCACGTGTGGACATATCGCCGCCACCGCTGAGACGTCAACGCAGTGGACCCGAGCGTACTATCGCTGATTCACCGAGGACAAGCGCTTTGCCAGCACATTTAGCTCTACATCAGAAAGACGTGCCTCATAGGTGAGGCAAAGAGGTCAACTGCGTGGCAACTACTAACCAGTCCAAGGTACAGTGAATTTGCGCCATTTTCAAAGCCAGCGAACAATGAGCCAAATGGACCGCCTCACAATCCGGAGAGATCCAGATGTTCTTTACAGTCATCAGGCTGGGGTCGCCTTCTTCCGTGTAGGCTCAGTGACCAAGAACATCGGACTGAAATCGCCAATACCCCAGGACCACAAAACCGAACTCTCTGCCGAGTCTGTTTGAAGAGTGCAAAGGTGACATACGATCCACTCGTATATTGTAATGGTTGCCAGAGATGTTACCACGACAGCTGTTGTAAGCCTTCACCTGCCGAGGGGGCTGATATGTGAGTGCTCGATTCGTGCTGCATTCTCACATCCGCTGACAAATGAAGGCTCTCATGGAGGTGTTTCAAGTGTCTCGGTATCGAGACGAAAGATGCATCGCGATTAAGAAGATCTCTACTTGAACCCATCGGCGGATCCACGCCTGTCGATTCTAAGGCTGCTACGAAAGGATGGCTCTCTGCGTTGCAGGAAAATATCGTTCCACAGCCAGAGCTTTCCAAGCCACAGAAAGCGCGTGCACACATCGACGAACTGGCTGCTTTGGTGAAGCCACCTGTACATACGCAGAACGGTGCATCCATTTCTCTCGACGGTTGTGCTGAAGACCAGGACAATGCCGACGAGTCCGTATGCTTGAGAACTCCCGCAAAAAACTTTTTTGAGACGAAGGCGCTAGACTCAGTAGATTTCGGTGCTCTTGAAGAAGAGATCATTGATCAGGAACTGCTTGAGGAAGCCGTTCTACCAAGCAACACGCCAAATGAGGCTTCTATGTGCCAATTGTTTAATGTCGAAGACATTGAGGTCATCGAAGTCCCAAACACACCCACGCAAAGATCCAGTCAACTATATACGCCTGAGCCTATGCCCATCCTACATAGTGGCGCAGATTCCGAGGCCACTTCGCCCGACGACAGCTCTTTGCTCATCGAACCGAAGTCGCATGCGAAAGTTGCAAGTACGACTGCCTTTTGCTCGATCTGTCAGACACAGCGAGTGTTAGCGAAGAAGGGAAGCACCGAGGTCCTATGGTATGCCCCGTAACCTTTTACTATGATTGACTATTGACCCAGAATGTAGTCAGACATGCCATGAACGATCAATTATCAACAAGTCAGAGAAGACTGAAATACCAGACACACCGGAGGCCAGCACTTCGAATCAGACATATGAAAGATCGAAACGTCCCGTGCCTGTAGAAGTAGCACCAACATCGGACAAAGCCGCTGACCAGGGCCCATTGCACTGGTTTCAAACTAGCCTTGTAGCCGGCACACCAAAGACAAAGCAAAAGAAGGTTTGTGAAATTGCTCATCTGAACACGAGCTGTCCACTCAACTTGGCTGCGGACTCTATAAAATTTTCCTCTTCCAAACATGTCGTATCTCCATGTCATGATACTGATGCGCCTCCCCAGATGCTCACTCGAAAGCTCAACAGTAAACTCAGCGTGACTACGAATCACAAAGTTGCAGAGATACTCCATCGAGCCGATGTCTCATCGCGGCAAACGCCAAAAAAGCAACAGCTCTCGGGATCAGTTCAGCGTCAGGAAATCAGTAAACCCAGGTCGTTCGGCGATTCACACAGTAGAACGAAGCATGGTTCTGACCAGAGTATTTCCAGTGTCTTTTCTGCGACCAAGGACAATTCCTCCTCGACACCTGTACCTGCTGATCAGGACTCAGATCAGGACTCAGACCAAGATCGAAGCAGTGCTCTGAATTCTGAGCCAGAGACAAAGACGCGTTCGACCAAAAATTCAACAAGCCCTCAAGTAGGTACCACATCCCCGAATGGTGACGATACGTCAATCGCCGATCGGCCAGCAATCCATAACGGGATGAAAGTCAGGAAGCGATATACAAGTCGACAGCTTGCGAGGATAGCACTAGTCGCTGCAAATGGGCATTATATGACGACGTCCCAAATCGTTCTCTGGCTGGTTTCCACATTCCCTCACTTACGTGTTGGTGAAGGTAATTGGGAAGTGAACGTCCGATCAGCTCTCTCGTGGTTCGAGGAGTTTCAGGGACGCAATATCAAGAATCCCGGAACACACGGCAATAAGAAGCATTATGGGTTCAGTAATGCAACGTTTCGAGCGCAGTTTGAGGCAGAGTATTCAGAGTTCCTTGACTCACCGGAGCCTCGTCAAATGCCCGTACCGCTTGAGCCGGTTCCCTCCGGTGATGGCAAACCGCGGAGCAAACGACCTCTAGCAGCAAAGAGGGCGGCGAAAACCACTCCATAGTCTGCTCAAGCCGATGGTAGACCATCGATCAGGACCGAATATGGTCGATTCTTGTGAGCAGCCAAGCTCGATAGCAAAGCAAGCTGCCAACGACCCGTCGTTCAATCCTTTCAAGCGATCAGTTCCACGCCAGGCGTTCAAGCTGCCGGACATAGGCAATGATACTGGACTGGAGTCATTCATGATAGTCGCAATATCTCCGGCCTCCCAGCCTACCATCGATACCATGGCTCAAGAAGAAAAAGCACGAAAGATTGAAGAAATCAAAGCAAGGCCATCGCGAAAGACATATTTCGGATCCGGGCAACGACTCGCACACAAGCGCCGGTACAACCTGGTAGACATCCACGAGGAGAGGGACGGAGCTTGGCAGGCGCCCGCAAGAACAGCAGTTAAGGGCCTACGCGAGGCGGACCACGATATGGACATCGACGACGACGGAACCTCCCGGACTCTGAGGGAAGTCTTCAATTTGCCGTACAATATGATTCCAGTCAATGATGGCCAGACCGAGTTGGCATTCAAGGACGGAGAAAAGGGCAAGCGGTCGCGAACTATGTTCAGAGTGGGCAAGATGTTTGGTGGGGAACTGACGGTGAGGACGTCGTAGTCTGACGCGCTGGATCAGACGTACATGGTATGATTATGATTATAGTAGAGAGCCTACTGACCCTTGAGGCCGTTCGCCAGTGCGCCTGGAGTCGATCTATATGTCACGAAGCATTCTCACGCATGCGCATGTATTGCAGCGGAAATAAATGAGCAAGGCAGATGATGATGTGAGGAATGGCACCCGATTGTACAGAAAGCACAAATGAAGCAACACATGCTCTAATAATGCATGGAGACAAACATCAATTGATTCTCTCCTAGATAGGTCCTCCCTCCCCTAAAAATAGTATCCATATCATATTCATACATCTACACCCCTCATACCTATTTCTCCCCAGCCCGCTCCCCCTTCGGCGGCGGACTCGTCGCGCTTCCACTCTCCCTGCGCACCCCATCTTTCCCCTCCGCCGCCTCGCGCTCCAAAAAGTCCTGCCACAACTCCGCCAGCGATTCTTTGTTGCTCGAACTGCTCGCCATCAGCATCGGGTCGCTGATGCTATTGAGCGAGGGGGTGGAAGGCGTGCGTCGGAACGACGACATGGGAATGCGCAGGCCGGAGGACGTTGATGCGCCGCCGGGGCGGGCGAGGCCGGCTTGTTCGCGTTGCTCTATTTCGAAGTTAATAAATCCTGCCATCACTTTAATCTTATATAGGTAGAAGGGAGGAACTCACCATCCGTCCACCCCAACAACGCCGAAATAAGCTGCAGCGCCTCAAACTTCTTCGGATCACTCCTGTCCAGGCCCAAAAAGTGCAGGAAGTAATTCGTGATAATCTGCTTGTCGACGTTGTCTTCTGGGCGGCCCTTTTTCAGGATGCGCAGGGCTTTGGTGAGGTGCTCGTTTAGGGTGACAGCTTCGTGGCGGAGCTTCCCGATCAGGAGGTTCTTTTCTTTGACTTCTTTTTCAAAGGGCAGGGCGCGTTCGAGCTCCTTCTGGGTGGATTCGACGGTTGCTTTCGCCGCGGCGGAGGCGCTTTCGGCCGCTTGGACTTGTTTGCGGAGATCGTTGAGTTGGGATTCGTACGTCTCGACGGAGTTTTTGAGCTCTTGTCGCCGCACTGTGGGCTGTCAGTATAGAGGTCTTTTGATATTCTTGACGGAACATACACGTCTGGACTTCTTGCAAAGCCTTCTGCAGGCCTTCGACATTTTGGCCATTCGTGTCTCTGTCTCGAGCGGCCTTCTCGTATTCTTCTCGCAAAGTCTCGAGCTGCTCTCTCAGCTCGGCGTCTTTTTCTGTAAGAGTCTCACGTAACGAGCGCTCGTTCATGGCGAGCACTTCCCAGTCCTGCATGGCCTGTTTCGCATTTTCAAATTCTTCCCGCGCATATGCTTCACGAGATATCAATTCGTCGCGCTCCTTGACCCAGTTGCTCTGCGAAAGAGTTGATCGAGTTCGCAGCTCTGAAATCTCCCCGGCCTGTGTCTCATTCTCCTTTCGAAGCTTTGCCAATTCGTCCTTGAGAGTGTTGTTGTTGTCTTGCAGTTCGCGGACCTGCTCTTCGAGGTCTGCGACTTGACTCTGGAACTCCTCAATCCGAGCCTGCGACTGTTAGCAAGAGCTGATTATGTGACGGAGGATGGACAACTCACAGCATCAGCCTTCATGCGATCTCCCAAACTGGTTTTGATCGAGCTGACCCGGCCTAACAGGTTCTTGTACTGTGTCTCGAAATGTTCCTTCCCTTCATTCGCTTCTTCCAACTCTTCGCGCAGACTTTGGATCTCGGCCTCATGGTCGGTGTCGGACTGCTCTGAGGGCTGACTGTTGTGTTTGCTCTGTATGCTCTCCAAGCTCTTCCTCAGCTCTGTGACTTCCTGCCGCAGCGCATCGCGTTCCTTCGCGACCGCGTCAAGCCGCGCGCTAGTATCTGCAGGGGGTGGTGGTGAAGGCGACAGGCCCTGCTGCGACCGTGATCTGGAGAGCCCGAGTGCCACTGCGGACGATATGCTGTGGTGTTGTGTGCCATTGGCTTGAATGGTGGCCGGAGAGAGCGGTCGCTCTTCGTCGTCTACGTCGTCGGCATCGGGGTCGTTATGTTGCGCGGCTGACGGCTGTTCCTCTCCATCTTCTGCCTCGTCATGCTCCTCGGCTTGCGACGCTGTTTGGGTGCCGTTCACCTTATCCGACTCTTGTGCTTTGTTCGCAGCATTCTTCTTCTTGTTCTTCTTCTTCTGCGACTTGGATACCGAGCCTGTTTTCCTGGTCAGCTGCGAGTTCTGGTGGCCCTTGGATACACCTCCGAGGCTCCGCGCGGCCTCATCTCAGCGGAAGCTGTAAGCTCACCTACCACTCTGGTTCAGGGCATCTGTTGCTTCTTGCGCAGACATGGTTGCAATGTTATGATTGGCTTCTGTGGCGCATGACTTCCAAGGTCAGGATCACTGAGGAGGAGAGAACGTGCAAGGGAGCATTTGTAGATGTCTTGCTTTGGCGAATCGTGTCCCGATGCAACGCGGGAGCGATTGTTTCCACCCACGCGGGCGGAGGTGTGGCGCTACGTCACCAGCCACACTTTATTATTAGTTCCTAGCGCAGCGATATTGGTCCTGTACCCGACTATCATTTGACGCAATGTTTTGATACTGGACCTAATTGCATGTGCGATGGTGTATGATGATCACTTTGTTAGAGAATTGCGTGTACGTCTGCGCAACATGATGAAGGTGTCTTTCGGAGGCTGTCGGCGGACCGAAGTGAGAAGCATCGCGCTACTGAACATGAAAAGTAATGGCAACTGGCTTGTGTTTGGGAATTTCCATAGATGACAGCTAGCAACGAAGAACCAATAAATCGTAGTCTATCAATTGCGGTCTAACTCTTATGTTCCTTCAGTGTGTTTCCTATTGAGGAACAGCCCCATATTGCTACAAGGGCAATGTACAAATCAACTCCGAGGCCCAAGTGCGCCCATGATGCAGTGTTTTTGTACACAGTCAAATCATCGTACATGTTCTCTCGTGCCGTCCATGGCGTTCACGCCGTAATCTACACCTCCTTCAACCCTTCCATCCGGTGTGCTTGAGGATCTGCTCTGCTTTCTCCTGCCTTGGATCTGGTTCCACCGTCCGCTTTCGCAACTCTGTGTCGCGACGCTCTCGTTTCATTTGCTTGGACTGCTTTGTTGTTGGTCGGCGAATTGCCCAGTTGAGCTGGCCAAAGAAGTTCGTCCTGATAGCTGTGCGTCATGGTTAGTACTTCTTAGGCTCTGTTTCACTCGAACCAATGCATACCATCAACGCAGTATGGACATAGTATGTGGCTCCGCTTCACGCGCCCACATGCGGAGCATCTGCCCAGTGCAATAATGTCTTTGAGTCCCTTGCCCGCCATGAACCGTTGTCGCTTCTTCCGATATGACGTCTTCTTCTTCGGCACGGCCTTGAGTATGCCCTCCCAAATATCTCCCAGGGACGGAAAGGACGGGAATTGTATGGCCGGTATCGCAAAGGCAGCGAGCGGTGCGGGCAATGTCCGGAATGGCTGCGCGAGGCGCTGCAGGAACGGCAGGTTCAGGACGGGTCGGACGGGGCCATTGACGGCGGGCAGCAGTGTCTGCCACAGCGGAGGCAGCGGACGAGCGAGCGCCATGGTGTTGTGAGGCGTAATGGATGCGCAGTGGCTGATGCCGGCCTGATGTGGGTGAGGCTCGTGATGTTGGAACAAATTGCACCCCGGTCGGAGCTCCAGTCGCGCCTTCCCTCGCGCAGCGCTAGCGTGACCGCTTCGTGGCTGCCCCCTTTCCCGCAGCTGCAACTCCACAAGAAAGTTGCAACGTCCCTGGATTTTACCTGCAACAACATTCCCAGTGTTGACCGCCTCCGAGTCTCACTCCACCACCACCACCGCCATCTCTCTCGACCTCAATTATCCGCCCCCGAGGCTCACATCGCCCGCAATGGCTGCCGCCTACCAGACCCAGTCCATCTTTCCGGACAGCTATGTCGGTTTCGACAGCATCACCAAGCAGATTGAGAAGAAGACCGTCAAGCGGGGCTTCCAGTTCAATGTCATCTGCGTCGGTAAGCTGCACTGATTCCACGTGCAGTGCCCCAGCTAATTGTCTTTCCTACCTGCAGGCCAGACCGGTCTCGGAAAGTCGACGCTCATCAACACCATCTTCGCGTCGCACCTGATGGACAGCAAGGGCCGCTTCCAGCCCGACGAGGAGCCGCGCACCACCACCACCATCCACCCGGTCTCGCACATCATCGAGGAGAATGGCGTGCGTCTGCGCCTCAACATTGTTGACACCCCTGGCTACGGCGATCTTATCAACAACGAGCGCTGCTGGGACCCCATTGTCAAGTACATCAAGGACCAGCACAGCGCCTACCTGCGCAAGGAGCTGACCGCCCAGCGTGAGCGATACCTCCAGGACACGCGCATCCACTGCGTGCCTGTTCTTTATCCAGCCCTCTGGTCACGCCCTGAAGCCCATTGACATCGTCGTGCTCAAGAAGCTTAGTGAGTTTGTGAACGTCGTCCCTGTCATTGCCAAGAGCGACAGCTTGACCCTCGAGGAGCGTGCCGCCTTCAAGGAGCGGATAAAGGAGGAGTTCCAGTTCCACAACCTGCGCATGTACCCCTACGACAATGATGAGGACGACTCCGAGGAGGCTGCCCTCAAGACCTCCATCCGGGTATGTTTTGAACTCAAGTCACAAACCAGGATTGTTTCTAACTTCACATAGGAGCTCCTGCCCTTCGCTGTTGTTGGCTCAGAGCGCACTGTTGTCGTGAACGGTAGGAACGTTCGCGGTCGCCAGAACAAATGGGGCATCATCAACGGTACGTTGCCGCCGCTCTTTATCTCAGAGCATATCACTGACTTGTCATAGTTGAGGACGAGACCCACTGCGAATTCGTCTACCTCCGCAACTTCCTCACTCGCACCCACCTGCAAGACCTCATCGAGACTACCGCTCAAATCCACTACGAGTCCTTCCGCGCTAAGCAGCTGCTCGCCCTCAAGGAGAGCTCTGCCGTCGGCGGCCACTCTTCGCGCCCCATTTCGCCATCCGCCGATCGTGAACTTAGCAGGAACAGTCAGCGCATGACCATGAACGGGTACTAGGAGCACCCGAACCATAGCCGCGTTGACAGCACGGGTGGGAGACCGAGTGGTCTGCCGTCACGGGCTGCTATTCCTATGGATGCCATATCTGTCATGTCCGAGCGAACGTTGGTCGGTCGACCCCCGGGTCCCCTCGAATCCATGTCCGAGCGTACGTTGCTTGGCTGACGGCTAGGCGAGCGGAGGAGAGGATGATCTTGATACCAGTGCAACTGCACGAAACCCGGGCCGCTGTGGGGCAATACTTTCTACACTTTACATTTGATTTACTATTATTTTAGTTCGGATGAGTTAACTCTTTTTCTCCTATGTGCGAGCACGGTGTCGGGACTGTGTGCTGCGGGTTTACTGGCTTATACCCAGCTCGAGATCTAGGATAGTGCCAGAAAGTAATGTTCACAACAGACCGCTCTGCTCTTCTATCCAGGTCTCCTTTCCCACAAGCCATGCCGGGTTGTGTTGTCATGCCACTCTGGGTATGGTACGATGCGGAGCGCCACCGAGGGAGGTGCGTCGGACCCTGTCTTGAATGGCCTGCGCACTTTCGGACCCCCACTCTCCCAGTGAATTTCGAACAAGATGCAGTCCGATGCTAGCTGCATACAATGATCCAGTCTTGAACCATATGCCTCAGAAAGCAGTTCAGCGCAACAGCCTCGACCCAGCAAAGTCCTCGATACTATCATCCCCCTTCTTCCCCTCATTTAGCTTCACATTCCTCGCCTTCCCTCGCGCCGGCGATCCATCAGGTGACTTTCCCGTCTCGCCCACAATGCGCTCAATGACTTTCGCCTTCGCCCCAGCACGCTTGACGCGATCGTCGAAGTCAGCGACAGCTTCTTCGGTATTTTCGGTGCTGAACGTCATCGGATCTGTGAGCGAGTGAAGTAACGTGACGTTATTCACTAATCGTTGGTTTTGTGAGAGGTTTGGCATCCTCTCCATCCCTTCCTGCTGTTCTTTCTCTGCGGCGGCGGTGGTTGTGGTCAAAGCACGAGCACCCCATACCACACTACGGCCGTGTAATTCGCCCAAAGCAGCAAACTTTTCGAAACCCTTTTCTAGGCCGAAGATGCGCCCTTCGATACGGCCCGCACGGCTGCCGTCCGAGGCGCCTTGGGCGTAGGCGGTGGTGTAGAGGGTGTCTTCGAGGGTGAGGAGAGAGGACATGTCGAAGGGGTCGGCGGAAGAGTGGGTGTTGAGGGGTTTGGATTGGGTGGATGCCATTTTTGATTACTGGGACAGTTTTGGCTGTGAATTTTTGTTTTCCTCTTTTGTGACGATTGATTTTCTGAAGGCCCTTTGATTTCTTGGGGGTGGTGGTGGGTAGCTTTAAGAAGTGCTAGGTATGACTCGAATGTGATTGATACAGCTGAACGAGGTTACCTTTCGTAAACACTAGCAAAGGTCAAGTACTGTATGTGTAAGATCGATGAAAGCACTTCAATTTAGGTTCGCCCAGATTGCATGGCCACAAGGTTGACCTGGTCCAAAATCCAGGGTCTGTGGCGCATTGTGTGGCGTTTTTATGGTGGGGTACTGATTGGAGGGGCATCTTTTGGCTCCTCGTGTGAGTGTTCGGAGCTTGACTCACGCAAAGGACGCAACGTCAAAGCTCCATACACTATTGTCTGGTGCCCTAAGTTGTACTCGGAGCTGACTATATCGACCCTTTCACAACTTTTATAGAACACATTGTAAGCCTAACAACCTTGCAGCATCCCTTGAACTGCTGCTCCATCACAACCCAGCCCATGAAGCTAACACCCCAGCGCAGCACGACACTTCCATGACCGAGATCAAGAAGAAAATCCTGCCCGTTGAGGGCGAGCGCAATGTGCTCATCACGAGTGCGCTGCCATACGTCAACAATGTCCCGCATTTAGGCAACATCATCGGAAGTGTTCTGTCGGCGGATGTCTTTGCCCGTTTTGCGCGCGCACGAGGATACAACACACTATATGTCTGCGGTACTGACGAGTACGGAACCGCGACCGAGACGAAGGCAATTGAGGAGAAGGTCACACCACAACAGCTATGCGACAAGTATTTTGCGCTGCACTCGGAAGTCTACGAATGGTTCAACATCAGCTTCGACCACTTTGGACGCACACCGACCCAGCACCAAACCGATATTGCTCAAGACATCTTCAAGAAGCTGTACAAGAACGGCTATCTGGAAGAGCAGACCACAACACAGCCGTACTGTGAGACACACAAGAGCTTTCTGGCAGATCGATTTGTTGAAGGCACATGTCCGCTATGCAACTACGAAGACGCCCGAGGTGACCAATGCGATAAATGTGGACATCTTCTAGATCCTCTCGAGCTCAAGAATCCTCGTTGCAAGCTCGACGGAGCCACACCGGTACCGCGCGAGACTAAACACGTCTACCTATGTCTGGACAAGCTACAGCCGAAAGAGGAGGAGTGGTTCAAGAAGGCGAGTCAGGAGGGCAACTGGAGTTCCAATGGTATTCAAATCACGGCATCTTGGTTGAAGGAGGGTCTCAGACCTCGTGGCATCACGCGTGACTTGAAGTGGGGTACTGCTGTACCACTCGAGGTATGAGTGCGCGTTCTTGCTGACAGTAGTATACTGACAGATATTAATTAGGGTTACGAGGACAAGGTCATGTATGTGTGGTTCGACGCATGCCATTGGTTACGTCTCAATCACCGCCAATTATACCGACGAATGGCAGAAGTGGTGGCACAACCCCGAGCAGGTCAAGCTCTACCAGTTCATGGGCAAGGACAACGTACCGTTCCACACAGTCGTCTTCCCCTGTTCACAAATTGGCACCGGCGATAAGTGGACTATGCTAAACACGATTTCGACGACCGAGTACCTCAACTACGAGAAGGGCAAGTTCTCAAAGTCAAGAAACATTGGTGTCTTCGGAAACAACGCAAAAGACACTGGTATCCCCTCCGACGTCTGGCGCTACTACCTCCTCTCTCATCGACCGGAGACTGGTGACACCGAATTTGAGTGGGACGGCTTCATTGCTGCGAACAACAACGAGCTCCTCAAGAACTTGGGCAACTTCGTCAACCGCGTTATCAAGTTTGTCAACTCCAAGGTGTACGACATCCGTGGTTCCTGATTACACAATAGTATCAGGACGAATACTTTCGACGAACACAAGAAGAAGGTCAACGAGCTACTCAAGCGATATATTGAGGAGCTCGAAGATGTCAAGATCTCGTGCAGCGCTTAGTACAGCACTTCACGTCTCGAGCCAAGGAAACTCAACTACTCCAAGACAACCGGTTGGACAACAAGCTAGCAACCGAGCACCCAGAGCGCTGCGCCGCCGTCGTCGGACTAGCTTTGAGCCACATCCACCTCCTCGCCAGTCTGATCCAGCCATACATGTAAGCCTCTCCCGTACTTCTCAACCCAGTACATCCAAAGCTAACCACCGTTTCCAGGCCCGACACCACCGCCTCCATACTCTCCCAACTCAACGCCGAATTCCTCATCATCCCCGACGACTGGGAAGCCCGCTCGCTTCCCGTCGGCCACAAGATCGGAACCGCCGGCTATCTCTTCTCGCAAATCAAGCCCGAGAAGGAGCAAGAGTGGCGCGAGCAGTTCGGCGGCGAAGAAGCGCGCAAGGCGAAGGAGGAGAAGGCCCGCAAAGCTGCGGCCAAGAAGGCGGAGAAGGAGCGCAAGAAGGCGAAAAAGGCGAATGCGCAGGGCGTCGAGGCTGCGGAGAAGGGACAGGATGGGCCGGCGAAGAAGACGGCTGAGGAGGAGGTTACGCGGGGAGTGGAGCAGGTTAGTCTGCAGACGTCGTAGGTGCGGTGGGTTGGTGTTTATATACCCGGCGTTTGAGAGAGCTGTGGAGATTGGTGTTCGGGGTGGGTACATGGTAGTGGCCATATGCGTGCATGTGCCGAATATGCTCAACGGCAAGAGTTCGTTAGAAGATACTGTGTTAGTAGAATTCAACTTCGTTTCTTGTTCAAGATGTCGAAATTTGGCTTGTATTGTTAATACCGTTTGACGGCCATGCTGAAAGCACACACAAGATCTCTATTACGGTTTCAAGATGTACCGCTATGCTTATGGAATGTCATTGATTAGTTTCGCGACCCTCTCTGCAACATGTAGCCTCTCAGACATGAACGTATTCGTCACCAGTGCGTCTTGCGAGCATTTTTGACAGCGAAAACGCGGAGTGCATGAACTGTTATTGAAGGCTATTGGGCGCAGCTCGTCTAGTATGCGTGTCCAAAGACCTTGGTAACATGCGGTTAGACCTACGGGAACGCGTACTGCACTGCCGAAGTTCGATGAGTACACCACGATAGGTGCTCATCTTCGGACACTCCGCCGGCCTACACTAGGAAAGATAGTCCGCGTTGAGTCCCCATGAACATTACCAGTATTCTTGCTAAAATCGTGACGGCTGCTCCTGACACCCACTCGCTGCAAGGCATCCCATTGCGGTTGAGTGCGCACGGGAGACCGCCCTGCCACTATCGATGGCATGGTTGAGGGTACCTGGCTCGGACGAGAATATGTTGAACGATTGAAAGAAGGGAAAGGAATGGCAGCACTTGTCTGTACGTGCTGTTGCCGGTTGGGGGAGGCTCTGTCGCGGGACGACCCGTAAGCGCTATCGCGGAAGAATGGTGATTGTTCTGCTTTTGGTCTGGTAATGAAACCTTTCGATGTTACATTTCGGCTTTGATACTGTCGTGATGGTGGTGGCCGATTGATCTGCTGCTGGTCCTGGACGCGTTGAGGTTGCTGATGACTTCTCGATATCACCGGCGACTCGAAGAAGGAGAGGCCATTGAGACCGCGCCATTCTCGCCAGCCTGGCTCAGGCGCGATCATCCGTGGTCTTGGAGACCGATAAGCGGCGAAATGATTTGAACTATCCTGGGTCTCAGCCATCCTGGGTTTGGAAAATTGTGCTGCGTTGCGATTGTTGCTCTCAATGTAATGACTTACTACGTTTTCGATCTGATGACCAGGCTGCTGGAATTTACGGGGGGCCAGTGTCATTGGATTGTGCGCCAATTCTTGGAATGCCCCGTTCTGTCGGTGGTCAGTCCTGTCTGGTTGCACTGCGCCTGAACGGTAGCCTCTCGGTAACGATTGGCCGTGCGGTCCTGGTGGTTGCTGGGAAGGCAGATCTGGGCTCCAATTCTCTTGGTCCGTCTCTCCGTACCTGTGTTGGTCATGGTCGTAGGAGCTGCTACGCCAGGTCGCATTCCCAGGTCGATAAGAGTTGGAACTGCTTTCTCGCGGATCCTTAAGGCCTAACTCGACCCCAACCTCGCCGGACAGGCCGTCCATCAGTCTTATGTATGAAGGCTCAGTTGGCAATTGTACGGGTTGGTGCAAGTTCCATCTCTTGCCCATTTTAACAGGTGAAGGTGCTCGAAAAGTGAAATTAGGTCCATCATTGTCGATACCAATGCTGGACAACAGCTGAGACCCACGTTTACTCGCGCCGTGCGGCTCATCGCCAACAGGCAAAGCACCTGTCATGTACGGAGTTCCGTCACGATGATGATACTGCCGTTCTGAGGCACGAACACTCCTCACTGAGCCATATGTTGGGTCGTCCCACTGTCTGTCTTCATCCATGTGAACGTCTTCACCACTATGGATGTCATATTCTGATGCTTGCGTGGAGCGCCCACTGCTGAATTTCTTCCTCAGTGTCGGGAACATTTTGCGAACAGACCGCATCCGCGAGGCTGCCTTGCTTGGAGGGGGCATAGCGTCTCGACTGCTCGGCGGGTCAATCTGCATATTGTTCGGAAGAGGCGACTCGATCCGTTGTCGCTTGGACGGACGCTGCATGAATGGGCTTGATGGGGCGACCACCACGTCACCCGAGGTGTGTGCAGACCTGCCAGCTGTGTGACTTGAGGTCGTCTTCTTGCGAAGTGTCGTACCGGAGGTGCCGTAATAATCGCCATTAATGCCCCCGTCATCGTTGATGAGATCTAGGTCAAATCTCTTGAGATTCGGAACTGGCTCGAGTTGCATGGCAAAGCCGACTGACGCTAGACGCTCTCTCATCTTGTCGTTTTGCCTGTGTAACTGTCAGTATGGTTTCCTCATGGACACGATGGCTACTTACTCGATCAGAGTAGGCACCAATTTGAGGTAGTGGCGGATAGCGTCTTTGTTGTTCTTAAAGGTCTCCAAATCTTTGGGACTGACATCCAGTCGACGATACTGCTCAACCTCTCGGTCAACATCTCGCAGGCGCTCTACTTCGGCTTCCAGGTTGTTTGACTCCCGTTCCACAGCCTGCAACCGCTCATTCTCCTGTTGCAGGGTGAGGACTTTGGCGTGCTCCTTCGATGCGAGGTCCTGCATAGCAACCAGCTTGTTCTCCGTCTCTGCTAGTGCGATTTGCTGCGGCTTACGCATGGAGTAAGTGTTTTGACTATAGCGGATGAGAGCCAGATATTGGAACTGTCGATCGTTAGCTACTTGTCACTCGAATACGCAGCACTCCATACTCCTGAGCGCCTCAATTTCCTTCCCACTGCCCTCGAAGCTCATTGGCGGCGCAATGAACCAGGCTGGCGGAATCATTGGGTCGTGCTCATCATTCTGGAAACCCCGGATGGAGTACAGATCGCGCACAGTGCTGTCGTTCTTCTCTTTGACGCAAGTGGGACATGCAGCTTTCGGACGTTGTCCTTCGGGGTGGAATTGGGGTGCTGTGATGCGTGAGTAGCTATTCGCAATATCACGTGCTCCATGTCCAGACTAACCTCCACTCTCCAAATGGCTGGCGCAAAAGACGTGACAGCAGCTCGCGAGGTACAAGTGCGTGACTATGCGGTCCCTGGGGTTGATTCCGTCCGAAAAGCCACCGACCGTTTCATCGTGACCCTCGTATACGTCGGCGAGCGTGTAGCAACAAACGGAACACGCGTAGATAAAGTTGAGGGGCGCAGCTGCCTCGCCTGGCGGCACTGTAACCGACCCGGAGGCCATGGCTACAGACTGAGTGAGTGCAAGGAGAGCAGGAGAACCGGGGTGGGTGGTGGGGTAAGTGCAGTCAATGCTGAGGAAAGGTATTGGTGGAAGGAGCGTCCAGGGTGCCAAGACTCACGAACTTGTCACGGCTGCCGTTAGACAGAGGCGGGGCAAACGACTGCGCCGGAGAGGACTGCCTCTACACGCGACGGCTGATATGTGAATATTGAACGAATTGAGAAACGATAGAAGAGTTAAATCGGAAATAGGCATGATGACTATGATGCGAGGAGAGATGTAGTAAATCGGAGGAGTTGCATCATTACAGCCAAGGCACGAGTGAGAACATGGACGGTTACGCAAATTAGTGGCCATATGTACACGATGTCTATTGTTCACTCTACTCACCCTCCCGTTCTCAAAATTTAGGAAAATACCCGGCAAGGGTAGCTGTAGCACGGTCAGTAGACCTCCTTATATTTAGACAGGGAATTGACTTACGTATCAGGGTATGATTGCTCCGGCTCCAAATTGTATTGCTTCTGGCCCGCAGCCTTCGTGGTGTGCAGCGCAGGCGGCATAGGCGGCAAACCTCCAGGGCCCAAGATATCCTTTGCCAATCCGGTGTTCCTCTCAAAAGCTACTGCCAGACCTTTGCTACCTTGTTCCTGTGCGGCGACCAATTGCTTCGAACCTGCCTCTCCAATCAGGTCCTGCTTGGGCGCTGCCGCGCTTCCAACCTCCAATAGCGCTACCGCATCCGCCTGAGTGATGGTCGAGAGCCGCGGGTATCGTCGTCGTACGTCACGCTTCCAGTAAGGGTTTTCTGCAAGATCGGCGGCGGGAACGGTGACGGGGTCGTCGTAGGTGTTGGGGTCCAGGCCTCCTGGGGGTGGGTTGCGGAATTGCGGGTTCATGGGAATACCGGTAGACCGCTTGGGGTCGAGCGCGAACAGCCTGTTGATGGCAGCATAGAGACCTTTTGGCTGGACAGTGTATTTCTATACACACATTAGCGCGCATTTACTGGGCAAACGGCGATGGACAAGAGGGGCCCGGGGTGTCGATTTGGTGGATGTGGGATAGGGTGCTGAGCATACCGAGAACGCCGTCGCGCCTTGCTTCGCTGCCATTTTGAGAAGAGGTGACTGGCAACCGAGGAGAGGAGTGGAGAGGACCAATGGGCGCGTGTCGTGCTGTTGCGCGCTTGAATGCGGTTGTCGTGAAGCTTGGTGATGTTCGCGGAGCTCGCAAAGCGCCAAGCCGGCAACCTCCGCTTTCGTAAGCGGAGCATCTCATTCGCCGTCATTGCATCCTGATTCTTCTACAACCTCATGTCTAGCAATGCCATGCTGGACTTATCGCACATCTACTATCACATGGATTGCGACTCAGCCACATGCTCTCTGTTGTGCTCGGAGCATGTGCTCAATTTAGAGACATGTTGTTGTATCTGATGATCATTGAAGTATCTTGGGTAGACGCCAAAGAATGTAGATTTGTTTAGTCTCCTGGTCGCCCCTCTTGGCATCTCTCGTTGCCTCTCAATCCAGTACAGCCAGGTAAATCTACTACCACTTCCAGGCAATGCGCATCAAACATGTTGTACAGACCCACCATGTGCCATTCAAAGAGTTGCGTTCACGCCACTCTCAAGCTCGGCATTCTCTCGTACCATATCGACCGACCTGCCACGCCCAAATAGCACCTGCAACACGGTCCGTCGATTCGGAGATGCCGCCCCGCCTTGCGCTGACATATTGCCTACGGCGAAGTCTTTAGCAGAGTTCGTTTTCTCTCACAGTGAAGTTGATATTTACCAGATACACGATCCGAGGCTGTCCAACGCTGATATGCATCGCAGATCGTGATCAACGACACTGGGGTCGTGACTATCAAGGTAGCCAGAGCGATAGCGGTTTGCGCCGTAAGAGCCATCTGAGCTTGGTGGTACTCTTTTAGAGAGATATTCCGATAGGATGAGTTCTCGGGGACAGGCTGATGTTGTTAGGACGTAGACTCAATTAAAATCCACATACATTTATAGTCTTTTTTCGATCTCTTCGAGATGCCAGGCTCCATCCCATATCTACTAACAGGAAGCGCTATAAAAAGGGTTGGACGCCAAAGTATCTATAGACTACGAGAAAGAAACCTATGTGCCGCAACACTTCGATGCGCACCAGTTAGGGCTCAATATTTTAAGTGCCCGCCTACCGGTCTGTATACAAGCTAATCTGTATGGTCTTCAGGAAACTTGTATGTCGCCTCAAAAGTGTTTCAACACTTGGGCATGGATCAATCATGAATTGTTTCGACAGAGAAATGTCAAGCTCCTCTGGTGTTGCTGCAGCACTCTGGCATTGACCAATAATATAGCATTGGCAGCCACCGGAACTCCCATGCGATAAGCATACCTAGGTAGGCTCCCGTACAGTGCGAGCACCCCGTGCACCCTGCGCCTGGACCAGCGTGCAGCATTATCTAAGATGGCGGGCATGGGCTGGGAGGTCAGATGATTCTCTCATATTTTTGGAGCTCACTGGGAGACTGTAGCAAGGATGTTATAACCACTAGGTAGCCCAACTCGTGGATGTAGACGAGTTGCGAAAGTGTGACCGCGCTGCAAGTCCTGATGCGCAGACTGACGGTGACCAATCAAATCGACTTCAGACTTCAACACCCCTCTGACACAGCCTCGAACCACCACTCGCCACGTCATGCAAAACTCTGCCTTGTTTCTTTTCCAATTTCTTGAGAAATGGCAAAAGAAATTGCTCTCATAACACGTTCTTCAAATCTCCGCACACCTATCTTATCTCTGTCGTGACAACGCCTTGTATTGCGATAGCATCCGTCGGAGAGCTTCAAGATTACTTTGGGGCATACACCTATCCTATTGAAGCCCTGTTCTTGATTGTTCGCGAAGATGGCTCGAACACCCGTTAGGAGCCGGAGAATCAGCTCCTCCGAATGGAACATAGCGAAGCCTTTCATTGAGCAGTTGTACATTACCAACAAGCTCACTCTAAAGCTCCTTGCGACGGAGATGGAGGAAAAGCATGACTTTATCGCTACGTGAGTCAATAACTCATGTGATTTACAGCGAGACTGATGGTATTTAGCGAAGCGCAATACCGAGCTCAATTCGATCGCTGGGGTCCTGGATGGAAAAAGCACAAAAAAAGTGTGGACCAGGAGCCAGTCGAAATTGCACTCCTTAGACACAAATTCGTTGGACGGGACATCGATATGTATAGGTGGGGCAAGCTGGTGCCTGAGGAACAAGTCGCCCAAATCAGAGACCGGAGCCGAGTCCCTCACCATAAGCTGCACAATGAGAATTGTATAGTCAAGCCAAATTTATAAGGCTGTGCCTCGGTTCTGACGAATACACACAGATGTACCAGATCTACCTAAGGGTGTTGCCATTTACCCCCGCCGCCGCGACTTCACCGAAGAACTTACATTCCGAGTTCCTTTTCTGGACCTCGAACGCTCGGTGTATGATCTGATCGTTAAGTGCCGCGATCTGGCTACACAGAGTACCACAGAACGAGTTGAGATCAGAGACCTTTTCCGAGGTTACCGAGGACTCCCTCTACAGCGGATTTCTGATCGTCCGCTTCCCGAATACTTGGAATCTAGAATTTCGGCACTGAACTCCATTCTACCTTGTCTGTATGACCCGAAGCGAAGCACTGGCGAATCGATCCTCAATACCCTGAACGGAGCTTACATTTCAAATGTGCATCGAGGCATCTTGTGCGCGCTTGGCAACAACCTAGCTGGTCTCCAAGGTCTATCCAGCGAGCAGCTTCACAGCCTCTTGGGCGTACTGAGTAGTCTCGACGTTTTGAGGGTATTTGCGTCCATACCAGGCCACTTAAGACATCCAATGATCCAACAACTACTGCGGATATCAGTCGAAGTTGGCAATGTGAGCTTGGTGAAAGCAATATTATCCAAGGGACAAGCGCTACAGATCGACATCAATGAGCAGTTTTGTACAATCAATGGACGAGCTTACACCTTGTTGGAGCGCGCTTCTATACTAAGACAATTTGACATGATCATAACCATGCTCGATTACGGTGCCAATGTTAGTAAACCATTTCCTTGTACACATGAGCGAGAGGGAAATCTTTGGGACGTCGATTCTTGCATACGTTGCGAGTCAAGAGGGGCTCTACAATGCGCGCTTCTCCGAAGTCCCAGAGATCACCGACTTGATACCCGGACCGTCAGCCTGCTTCTAGAACGATCGGAGGAAATTAGCTTTGAAACCTTGAAAATGCTTATGGAAGAAGAGGACTTTTTTCTTGAGGCCGTTACGAAGTTCGCACACGCTTGCCATGAGGATTGGCAAATGGAATGGGAACATGGCTGCATTTGGCGAGAGATGATTTTATCACTCACACAGGAAACCACAGCCTTGTCACTCCTGCAGATCATGCAGGGGCTTGGAGTAACCAGGACGACGCAAATGCTTAATGCAGCAGCAAGAAGAGGCCATGAAACTGTGGTTCAAGAGATGCTCGCAGACAACATAGCTCTCGACAAATACACTCTTTGCTCGGCAATCAGGAGTGAAAACGTAGCACTTATTCGCCATTTGCTGGGCTGCGGAGCGACTGTTAATGACTCTTTGCCCTCTGGCGATGGGGACCTATTCTCGGCAGCAGTCATTACGAAGAACGATGATCTCATACAGCTTATGGTTGATAACAAGGCGATGGAGCGCCTTGGCCAGTGGAGACCATGGCTTGCCGCGTGGAAAGCCGCTTTGACAGTTAGCAACATGAGTCTGCTACAAAAGCTACTTGCGATGCGGGAGGATATTTCGGAATATGATTTGGGGCACGCCTTGACCGTGGTCGCAAAGATTGGGAACTACGACATGGCTCTACAGCTGCTTGAGCGCGGTGCGGATATCGAAGTAACATCGAACCAGGACAATTATGTTGGAGACTCCGCTCTTATCAACGCTCTAGAGGCCAAAAGCCCAAGCCTCGTAGACTTGCTCCTACACTGGGGCGCCAATCCACTTCGCAAAGATCCAATGTTTCCTGCAGTTGTGTGGGGAAATAGCTTAGTGATAGAGAAACTGCTGGCAGCAGGAGCCAGATGTAGTTCATCTGCATTTGACGAGGCTGTGAAGAAGAAAGATCTCGAAATCATGGAGAGACTTTTATACGCTGGAGCTACCATGGAAGGAGCACTCGAAGTCGCCACACGACATGAAACTACGTATGTATGCAGTTGGCTTCTCTCCCACGGCGCAGACCCGCGCGACTCGCGAGCACTATACAATGCTTATCGGCACAAAAGTCCTTCTTTCGGCACTCTTCTACAGAGCTACAAAGTCAGATATCCTCTCGGGGCAGGAGGTTTTGGTTCAAGGGTACTGTGGAGCGCGCTCAGATCTAATGATCAATCTGCAGTGGAGCTTCTATTGGAACATGGAGCTGATCCCAATGGCTTCTTGTCTCTCGAAGGACAATATGGGCAGAACTTCACACCATTCTTCTTCACAATTGTGGAACGTGCCCGGAGCAGCACGTCCTTGATGGAACTCTTCCTGAACCATGGACACAAGTCGCGAGCTTTCAAGTGTTCTCCCCAGAGTATAGTTGCCGAATTGCACGGGTCTAAAAAAGGGCGCTCAGGGCCAATGATCACTGCTCTTCTTGCAGCAGTGAGCACGAAAAGCATGTCTGTTGTCCAACTGCTTTCGCAACGGGAAGACGCCATTATTGATCTACCCGCCTCTGGAAGGATCACTCGTACACCATTGCAACGAGCAGCCGAGGTCGGAGATCTTGACCTGACGAAGTTTTTCTATGGCTCGGGAGCAGATATCAACGCGCCACCTGCTATAATGGGGGGTGCGACCGCGCTTCAACTTGCCGCCAAAGGCGGTTACACGGCCATAGTGCTGTACCTGCTGAGTAAAGGAGCTGATGTCGATGCCCCAAGGGCTCGAATCGACGGTATGACAGCGCTCGAAGGTGCCGCTGCACAAGGGCGTATAGATGTATTATCCATCCTTCTTCGGGCTGGGGCCGGGTCACATGGGAAAGATCTCGTGCAATTCCAGAGAGCGATTGCTTTTGCGGAACAGGAAAGGCATTTCACCAATGTCCAGATACTGAAAGCATATTTGCAGTCCATCGGCCAGGACAGCCTCTTACTTGAGCATAGTATTCCGCAAGTTCGGGTCACGGAAACTTTCGTTCATCAACGCGACTTTACAGATTTTCAAAATCTTGTTGGTTTGGAAGCCGAAGAAAGGCATACAGAGTACCACGACCCACGTAGATTTTGAATAGGCTAAATACCGAGATAGACGCATTCATAATCTGTGGTGAGAGGAGCGGGAGGTTTCTAGATCGAGCTCGGCGCATATTACTGTCGTATCTCGTTGCTGCTTGTGAAGCTGGGGTGCGAGGGCACGATCCAGATACGATTGGGAACAGAGAAAGGGTATTCGATGTTCAAAGCTACCTGTGTAGGAGATGCCTAGGGCATCGAGTGCGACAATAAGTGCTTTCTGGTCAGGTGTCATTGTTGTTTATGGTTGTTTATGGTTGTTTATGGTTGTTTATGGTTGTTTATGGTTGTTTATGGTTGTTTATGGTTGTTTATGGTTGTTTATGGTTGTTTGTAAATTTGTTCGCAGTGAGTAAGAGATTTGGAATTTGAAGAGGACGGAAGATGTGACGAGGTTGAAGGAGAGAGATCATGAAGCCACTAAAAATATCACAAGTAGAGCACAGGCCACAAAGTATTGGCGGAGGAGAGAAGTTTCATTCGAGTACACCACTTGAGGTCAAAACCCCTTAAGAACGAATATATAGAGGATTCGAAAAGCGTGCGTTCGAGTCCACTGGAACGACCTCGCAACAAGATCTTGGCGTCTCTCCTTTACTCACAGCAGTTGGGGAACACCCAGGAAAAGTATAAAGCAACGATCTCCACCAAATGCTTGTTACTCTGACTTTGACCCTTCACTTTACAGTAAGCCTGTCTCCCTTGCGAAGTCATATTGCTAGAAGTCGTCTCCTCGACTACCAGCTTCAAAGTCTTCAGTAACTTTTGCGTATCATCAAGAAGCCTCCTGTGTCTTGCTTCCACTAACCTGCTACATTGGAATGGATCAATGTACTATCAGCACCTTACCTAGACCCATTTAACACACTCAGATTTGACCTTTGGCATTTGTGCGTGAACACCGTATTATGAGTCTATGTCCAAAATAGTCTCTGCCCCGACCCGTTGGCTATTCATGCAAACTATATGACACCGGTATGTCATGTCAATTTCGGGATGATAAAGGCGAGGTCTCCATATGGAGGCGGACGGGGAGTTGATTGCCATACCCCACCGTTTCAGCATACAGATCCGTCTCAGCTTCTTAGCCTTCAGTTCACTGGTACGTTGCGAAGAAAAAGCGATTTATGCACCTATCTCTAGTGTATCTCACGAGATGGGAGGCTGACGACATGACCTCACCAATAACCCGTAGTGTTCATATATTGACAAACGATCATTCTCGGCTACACCAAATGACGTCCCGCGACCTTGCGACTGTAACATACATGACGACACAGAACTAGTAGTGGAATGGAGAATTTAGCGTATGATGGAACGAAACCGGATTTGCTACGCTTTCAAGCTGCTACTCCAGATTTCGAAAGGCTCGAGTCAGAACATGAAAGCCTCGTCGCTGCAGGTATCGATGCACCATTTCGCCTACCTCTCCGACTCCATCATTAGTTTTTGCACCATTACACAAAGTGAGCAGATCTAGGAGGTTGCCGCAGCGATGGCTGGCTTGCAGGTAGGTTCCTGCTTCTCTCTAAGCCTTTAGGCTATACTTGGAAGGAAGTTCGATGCCCGAGGAACAGTCAAATGATGCAATGTGGCTTGCGACAGCGGTGGCTGGCTTACAAGTAGGTTTTTGTGTTCAGTGAAGTCTTTTATGCCGCAAGGGAGAAGAATTTTGGTGCCTTTCCGGACTCGGACGTCAATGTAGGGATATTGTTCGGCAAACTGCAGTATGCTATAGAGCACATTCTCGTCAGGGCATACAGATTATATGAGAAGGCCGATTGAAGCAGTCCGGGTTGCTGCAGCGACGATGGCTTTGGAGGTAGCTTTGGATGTGGTTTCTTGAGTTCTTCACTTGTTCTGACTGGCCGTGGTCGACTGCCTACGACCGTCCTTTACCAACAGGAGGTGCGTCAGTCGTGAGTGACGCATACAAGACGAAACGAGAATCGAGTGGAAAAGGGGCGTATGAAGGGTGTCGACGTGGGGTGTGCGGCGGTCTAGAGAAGAGACTTTCAATGCGCTGATGAGGCATACCGTTTTTAGCGCAAACTTGTCGCCCGCCATGAGTTCTCGATGAGTTCTCGAACGACACGTGATGGGGCAACTTAATAGAACGTGACTTCGCCCTCTCATAGGTATACACTCGGAAAGAAGGCTGCTCTTCGGACGTGAGAATAACTCTCTGCCTTTGCGCATTGCGCCCGGCAATGAGCCACGTCTTCCAGGTAGCTTCGATGGGAGTAACCTCGACGTTCATAGACCAATTGGGGTATTCTGACTCTGACAAGAAACGCTCGAGGTCGTGGTTGGCGCTGATGTCCGTTTTGGAGTTGACGCTCGTGGAAAGCTCTTCATCGTTGTTTGCGCGCGAGCCGGCGGAGCCACGGCCTCACGTCGTGAAAATGTCAGAGAATAACATTGGAAGTCTCCAAAGTGCCGCGTGAGTACATCCGGCGCCAGGAGCTACGGAGGGGCGAGATTGGAGATCGTAGAGAGGGGAGTTCGGGGCGCACTGTTAAGTAAATTAAAGACCATTTGGATATCAGTTACTATGATATTTAGCTGCCAGGCGTGCCTAGGGAAGGAGACGGGTGTTGGATGCAGACATTTTCAGTGTACTCGAGCCTGTCTGGTTACTGACCTTATATCCTGAGTGCGCCCAGAACGACAAACAACCTAGCCATCAGTGCTCTTGTCTAGCCTCGAGGCATGTGGAGACATCTCTGAATGCTGATATGTGTGAGGCTGCCCAGCCTCAAATAAGGCCGTACTTAATCCGAGAGGCTGTTGAGGCTTTAAAGCAGAGCAAGATCTCTCAGGGCAGATGTGTTATGCCTGTGGCACGTATGCCAGGCGTAGAGCAAGAGTCCGTAAATCTTCACCAGAGTCCCCCGCTTCTGAAAATACCAGACTCCATCGTACGTGAGGTAACACGTTCGTCAAACGTACCAGTGAGCCTGTATAGCTTCATGCGGGGTAGCACCACCGTCACGACAATCATAACACATTGAATGAAGACAGGAAGTATCATTACATGGCATACAAACATCACAAATATATCACAAGGCACAATATGACGGAGGAGGGAGCTTGTATTGTGGTCTTCTGGGCGACGGCCCATAGCCGCCACCCCAAAAAGAAACTTATTTTTTGGCCGAAGCCCAGCCAAATGACCCTTCCAAGGGCCTATCCGTCGGTGGCCTCAGGCCCACAAAGAGAGAGAGAGGAGGGAGGAGCGGGCACGGGCGCCCAGCCCCAGCACAAGCACTCAAGGGCCAAGGCCCTGCGAGGAGCGGACCGCCGCCAAAGCGAAGGCGTTCGCGCGGAGGTTGGTGTACTATGAAAACATGTTAGTGAAGCTTCGATTGGAGCATGGATACGACTACTTACTTCCGGCAAGCGCTCGATACGATCTATCGGATCGTAGATCAGCACCCAGTCGGTGCTCGCCACCGACCGGTTGGCAGCGCGGAGCTCCTGGTAATGGAGCCAAGCTCCAAAACGCCTCGCCCGCACATCGTGCCCCAGTAGCCAACTGGAGGCGAGGTTGGGGAGGGGTGGGAGGGGAGCTCGGGGCGTGGTGCCCAGGGCTGAGGGCGAGAGGGCGGCTGCGTGGGCGAAGCCCGCAAGCGCGCAGGGAGGGAGTCTGGCATTGGGTGCAGACATTTTCGTTGGTATTGAGCCTGTCTGGAGCTGAAGAGCAGAAGAATCCAAAATACTACAGCTTATAACGACAATTGCTAGCGCCGGTGCGGACGCTAACGGGTTGCCAAGCCGACTCTGAGCGACAGCAATGGTGTGTCCTACAGCTCAATAGAGCCTCTCTCAGGCGGCTGCAAGGCATACTTTTGGTTGGAAACCGACCGAGAACCACCTCTTATACTTACTGAAGCTTTCCAGCAACAATATAGCTCCAGTGACTTGGTAGATATCGCTATTCACAGCTGCGAGCTTGGCAACGACATGCTCCCACGGACCACCCGCAGCAAGCGAGACTACGGGAGATCCGAGCAGGGCGACATGGGTACGCGGAGATAGACAGGCAGCAGTTGCAGCTGAGTAATGTCATGCGATTGTACAGGAAGACGTGCTTGAGGAGAGATAGCTTGGCGGCTACATGACGGTGATGACAGGAGGATCGAGTCAATGGAGACACCTGAGTATAGACAGGAGAGATGCTGCGAGACGAGTCTGCTGGAAACGTAAAGGAAAATAGCTCATGAAAGCTCGCGTTTGGCTTAGATAGAGACAAGTTGGAGAGCAAGTGCGTTGATGTAGAACGTAATACCAGGATAGATCCGGGATGCGCAGAAGAATACATTTTGCGAGAACGATGAACTGTGTTCGAAGGTACAATACCCTGTGCATTTGATGATCAAGCCAAGTGCTTGTGGCATGCTGGCCAGGTTCATAGAGAGGGAAATGCATCTCCTGGAGCCATTGGTGACGCCGGCATCTGGCACTTAACGCCAGGGCCGAAGCTATGGATACGCACAGAAAGATGGGACTCTAGAGCTGGGCTCAGGCCCATCAGTCAGGTTCCAGCAGCAGTGGTGGCTTGTCAAGCTCCTGTCGCGCGGGTTGCATGTCATCTTTGGCCCTGATGGTGGGGCGGAGATGAAGCTATACGGTGGCTGTTGGGCGAGGAGGACCAAATCCTCAACACCAACGAACCCACACGAACTCACCACATCGCAACCTCCCGCACCACTCTCCAAAGCAACATGGCTCTTCTTGCGCACATTTTGGATGTAAGCAATCGTTACTGCTGCAGATTTGAGTCTCTGGCATGCCCGCTCGAGCTCCGAGTGAGGTTACGCTTGCCGACTTTCTGCACGAGGCGTCACACTCACAGCGCTGACTTCTTGATAGCTTTTCCTGGTCTTGGCCTTCGCCAACATCTGCATGATCTTCGTAGTAGGCCTTTGGAGGCTACTCCGCTGGGGCTGGCGCCCGCCCGCTGGAGAACGAGCCGCGCGATTCGTTCGAGCGCTTGCTGCGGCAGCGACAGCGTGGTTGTAGACAGCGTCGTAAGTCATACTGCATGCTGAGGTGTAGCACCTTGATTCCACGCATGATGGTGCGAGCGGCGAGGTTCAGAGCAATTTTGCAGGCGGAAACATTTGCCACGATGCAAATTCCGTCACACCATACACTCACTGACTACCACACCAGGCCAGAGAACTCCCCACCTCCCCCGCAACGGTAACGACGAGTACGAATACTTGCGCAACGAAGCGAGACGACTGGATTGGCACCGCGGCCACACACACGTTCTAGAAGCGAGCTCAAGCCGTTGGATGCGATGACCTTGGCGATGGCAAGCGAATGTTGCTGCACTATGTGCCCAGTCCGCATGGATTCCTGGCTCGTTCTGACCGATACCGCGCAGAAGCCTGAGCAGCTTCCAGGGCTTCTACCGTAGCGGCAATAATGCAAAAGTTTCCTGAGGATAGACAGCCCGCGCCATCATACGCCCTTTTCTAAGAGTCCGGGCTAGAATGGTATGTATACAAAGCCTCCACGCACATGCCGTCAGACGCATCGTGCCGAGGCCAAGCCATGAGGAAAGAAAGCAGGAATGCGTGAAGTAGCCGCCAGAGAATGGAACGGCATCAAGTTGACGACACAAAGCGCTGCGGCATGACTTGTGGTTCGGTCAGGCGTATGAAGGGGAAGACATGTCGTCTGGTTCCGGAAGGATGCCGAAGCCTTAGCGAAGTGTGCCGGGGTAGCCGCGCCGAAAGCTTGGGACCGAACCCCTGACAAGAAGACAACACCTCTTCTTCATCAGCGACCATCAAAATTGCATCTCCGCTGACGCAGAATCCAGGTGTCGCGTCCGCCTGCTGGTATTTGCAGGATCTGAACTAGTCGGAAAGTCAGCAGACCATCATGCACGCACATCACGACTTCTTCGACTGGATGCTGCTCCAGTGCACGTACCTTCGACTCGACAACACAATGCATGTGCCCACGGGCTGAATGAGGAAGAGATATATTTGGGATGTCTATGAACAGTTTTATAGTTCCAATGCACCCTCAGCCGTGGCCCGGGTCTGCCGCCCATTTACTAATCGGGTGGGTTGCCCAGGGATGCCAGCCACTGGGCAGGGTAAGCTCGATCATGTGAAGAGTGCTGTGCATTCCTTCAATACACCCTGAGCCACAACTCTAGATGAGTGATGGAGAAAGAACGAAAGTGCACCTGGGGTTCATGGAAAAGCTGCAGTAACTGCGGTGTTTGAGACTCGACTGGTGCCAGTGCCAGACCATCCAAGTCATCAGCTCATAATCGCAAGGCAGCAATCAGAGCAGCTGTGTGTCGAAAACTCGATCAAGTAGACGATGAATCTGAACCATGTTCAAGCCTGATCTCGACCTCGGTCGATCAAGCTTCTATTGCCGGGTCATGGCAGTGCGATGAGTGCCCAATCGGCCGCTTCATGCTCAAGGAGGTCTGGATTCCGGAAATGGTGCCGTGGCGTCGCCTCGGATGGGCTGAATTTGATCACGCAAAAGGTGTTGCGCTACGTGGTGGATGTGCACGGTTGCGAGCGCGTGCGTTCTCGACTGCGGCCTGCTTGAACGGAGCTTGGTTCCGTTTTCGCTCCCAGCAGCCCACGGGAAGGCTTATGCCATGCTTTGAGCCTTTCGATGATGAAAGACGTCTTCCGCGCTGTCTTCACATCCCTTGTTACGGCCGACACCGAGGACTGTGTGTCTAGCCGAAAGATCTGGTAGCATTCCTGCTGGAAATAGGAGCAATACCTAGCCTGAGACCCGTAGGTTGTTTGAACCTTCGGAGACCATCACGATATCACTGCCCTTGGCAATGCTGCTGATCTTGAGCGTATAGGCGCGCTCAAAGAAATAAAAATATATCTCAATCTTGCGGTGAGGGGAACTGGGCCGCAGCCAGCGAAATAGGCGGTGTGATCATACTTGTCGGGGTCTTCGGGAGACTTGGACTCCTGGCGAGGTGAGACTACCTCTTCATCTTCCTCTTGGGTGTTGCTCAAGGTCGGAACGGAAAGGCTGGAAGTGTAGCTACTATCGTAGTGCGCGATGGAACAATGCCTGACGTGAGACTCGAACGTTGTTCGAACCTCGGAGACCATCACGATATCGCTACCCTTGGCAATGCTGCTGGTCTTGAGCGTATAGGCGCGCTCGGAGAAAACATAGAAGATCTCTCGGAGAATAACTGATCCTAGCTGCATGGCACTGAGGCGGACAAGGAGATGATACTGAGGAGCTGTCGACATGTCAGTCATGGAAGGGGAAGAGATGCTGCCGGAGTGCAAACGTACAGTAGGCTTTGACTCACATGGACATAGAAGATCTCTCGGAGGATCTCTCCGAGGCGCTCGACAAGTCGGCGGAGTAGATCCTCACGATATTTCCTGTGTTGATGCAGATCTCTGGTCCAACAAGCCTCGCTGCAGTATCGAACCATGGGACACGCGGGTGAGGTGATTTTCCATTCGAACCATGAAATCTCTGCCCTCTCTGCCGCAGGTCGCACGGGGAACGAAGACGTGGCAAGTGTCCAAGCATATCCCGACTCGAGCCTTGTCATCAACCAACTTGATAATCTCAGCAAGATCAGCGAGCGAATTTGGTCAGGAAAGAAGTGTACGATGTCGAGACAAACCCCGACTCGGGCGCCTCGTTGAGGCAGGCGTAACGGAGGGATTGTTGTTTTGCCCTTCCGAGAGTCGCCAAAGAAAGATGCGACAAGCGTAGCAACACAGTCACCATCGAGCAGTCGGAATAAGTTCTGATCGTCCTCGGAGTAATATGCGACGCGATCCGCATCGCCATCGAGGGAGCTCTTCGAGGAAGGTAGCGCTTGCTGATCGGTCTTAACATGGTCGGCTCCGCACTGATTCGCCGTTAGTAAAAAGCAATGCTCGGCATTCCCGGTAGACTCACGTTGACGTTCAGTTCCTCTGGCTTGATCACCCCAGCACAGAAATTTTGCGGAGACGCTCGAACATCGTGTGGCAGCGACATGCGATGATCATGACGCAGCACTTGGCCAAGGCACCTGTGGACGCCGTCTTCTGGATGTCCCGAGACATTGCCTGGTGAGTGCCGGTCGAGGCTCGGTGCCGCCGGACTTGGAGAGGCTTGAGATGCCATGACGATTATCAGGCAATGTAACCGTCATAGGCTGTATATTTGTTGCTTCTCCAGGACTTGCGGCAATACCAGCTCATGTCTTGCCTTCGTTGGCAGCCAAAACACAGGAAGTGTACCGAAGCTGGGATGCGCTCTCTGTGTCTTCAAGTCAGCAAGGCCGAAGTTGTGTCAATGTGGGCACCACATTAAAGGTGGGCGCTCGGATTGGGTCAGCTTACCTGGTCTCTGGTCGTCCGCGAGGCCGCTCTTTGCGTCAAAGGTGCGGGGTGTAGTCTCTTCCGAAGGTGCGGACGGAAGTCCACTGATCATGCCAATGAGGGTTGGGATCATCAAGTGCCGTGGAGTATATGGATGAAGAAAGAGCAGGACGAAGTTGAAAGGTGGAAGGTGGTGTTGTAGTGTTGGAGCTGGCGGGCGGAAGGCAACCTTTTTATGCCCCCTCGCTAGAACTGTGCGGCTTCTGGCTCTGCCCCGCCACTCACCCCTTCGATGCTCATGGTCGAGTGCAACACCACACCTACGTCGTGTAGACCCAGGGGAAGTTCGAGGAGGGTACTATGATCATTGGTATGCTCCTCGCACTTCTGCTCGGAAGTTCTACGGCGGTGTTGTGGAGATAGAGGGCTTTAGGCATGGGCAATCGGAGACTTCGGAACTCAAGGGGCTCTGCATGTCCCTCACCTTCTGATCTGGACAGCGGGGCAGGTAAGAAGGCGCAAAGGCCTTGCCGATGGGGCCCGTCGGGGCACACCATACGACGTCACGCCACGGTAGCGACACCAGAAAAGTTAGCTATGGATGAAAAGCGCTGTATGATCCTCCTCGTGCTACTCCGAGTAAAATCGGTTGTGTAGTTGTGGAATTCCAGCATGTTGGGGGTGCACACAACAAGATTTGGCGGCGACTTCTTACTACATCAAAGCACGGACGGCCATTTTGCCACCGAGCTGTGATGGTGGGGCACAGTGGCGGCAACAGCGGAGGAAGGGAAGAGGTGCATATTAAGAGTCGAGGGATAGTAGCATGATGCTGCGGTAACGATAATGACAATCATGAGCATGAAAGTAAACGGGGGCATATGATCAGGAGCAGAGCACCGTTGCCGTATTGCTAGCGCTCTATGGCAACTTGGGGGGCGCTGCCGTGAAATGATCACACAAGGGCTGTGGCCCGGCAACTCCGCCCATCTGCTCCCATCTAGCTCCGTACTATCAAAGCTTGAAGCGCCCGCTTTGGCGCTCCCGTTTCTCTCGAACGCCCCTCGAGTCACCCAAGCTTGTTGCGCTCCCACGCCTAGATCCCCACGGAAGCCCCCGGGCGGGCAAGCAATCATGTCCCATCCTAGACCGAAGCCTCAGCGCCACCGATACACGGACCACAGCCTACCATACAGCGTTACGAGGAATCAGTACCTCACACATAGCTATACATCGCTTAGCTGTGCTCATCGGAGCTGAAGGAACCGCACAGTTGCGCAATGGACAGAGACGGCAGTCATAAGAAAGGAACGCCACCAACTATCATTGTAGACATAAACACAGCCAGGGTTCGTAGTTGAGCATCTCGAGCTGCAGATTAGGTCTGAGAACCGCAGGGCGAGCCTCGCCGTACTGATGGAGATGCTAACATGCTACGGGCCCACCTAAATGGCGCGTGGGCAATACGTTGGACGTTTCTTAGGTTCCCCAATGATGGAGCTGTAGCGCTGGAGTATCCGCGATAGGATCACAAGTATAAGGCATAAATAACGTGGGATTGGAGATCTGGACAAGCGTAGATGCGCAGACATTGGGTACTATGACAAAGATAGTCATTTCGGGTTGTGAATAGCATGCTACAAGCCACTGGCTGCCTGAGAATGATCTGTTTGTCGAGAGCAATGTACAATAACAACAATCACATGCGAAGCGCCGCGTAGACGACTCTGTTTCTTGCAAGATCTCCAGCCAAGGCCGCACTATCTCTTGCTGACCCAGCATCTAAAGTCACCAACTCCCCCAATTCGGCCACGCACTACACCTAGTTCACATAAGCTTGAGGATACTCAGCGCTGTACGACACACAATCAGCCACCGCAAAGTCAATCCTAAAGTCGTACGTCTATCTATCGTCCTATTCGAAGCATCTTTTTTTTGTCGCAGCCGCACCCCAGGAAGTCAAACGACTCACCTACTCACCCATCAATAGCTTCTCAAGAACATCCTCGGACCCTTATAAATGTCTCCCAAGGCCCCCAAAGTCGAGCGCATCCGGGCCCGCCCAACTGTCATCCGCCGCCGCCGTTGGAAAGTCGTGGATTCTGAAGAGCCGAGCGTGATATGGAAACGACTAGCCAAGAGAAATTTCGAGGTCCTGTTCTGGGAGGCGATCGATGAGATCGATGAGCAACGCAGGAAAGATGCCGCTTGCTTTATCTCTAAGTACGCTGTGCGTCTGATCACGCACATCGTTCTCAGTAAGTGAATCACGCTTCTTCAGTTTGATAGCAGAGTGTATTGACGGATTCCAGCGATCGTTTTGTTTGTGATAATTTGCCTCCTTTCGTTTATATCGACGGTGTTGGTGCTCGCTCTTGTGGAAGAATTGCTGAGCGGCCATACATGATCTCACTCAAAAAGCAATGTATTTATGCATGGTGGTCCATAGGGGCCAGATCGTAAGGATCACATGGTTTAGAATATCATAGTCAGCATTTGCAAGCAATGCTGCGATCGTTCACGTCTAAGCGCTATCTACACAATGCCAATGCGCTAGACCACAAATTATATCGCGCAATTTCGTCTACCTTTCTCCACCAAAGCACCGAAAACTTACTATTCCTTGAGACTCAACCCTCACTATACTGTCATACTCCATACACATTTCCCCAAGCCATCACACCTCACGACCCTTGATACATCGAATAAGCGCCACATACTACTCCAAGCGCATCGAGAACATGCCGTCAAACTACAGCCGCATGTTGCGCGACATTGTGGGCAACCAAAAGCCTGGCGGAGTTCCGCAGGGCAGGTCGACATATGCGTGGAGCCGCATCGGAGAGAAGGACGGCGAAGAAGGAAGTGAGGTCGAGGAGTCGGATACGCCGGTGATCGCCGCGGGTGTGTTGACGGTCGTCACTGTCATCGTTATCGGCAGCTGGCTGTGGATCAGGAATGTGAGGGGATGAGTTTGAGTTGGCAGGGAGGTACGGATGGATGTACTGGGAAAGGATTATGCCAGAGAAGGAGCGAATCGAGAGTTGAGTGATTGATTGAGGCGGTCCAAGTCTTCAATGTTTACGTCCATGCCATGAAAATTCATGACAAAATCAAGCCCGCTTCTATTCTCGCATTGAGTCACTCGCTCCCATTGTGTCCAGTCGTATGAGCGCCATCCACTACGCACTCCCTCTTCCTTAATGTATCAAGTCGTCTCAGCACCCTGCATGTGACGCAAATACAGAGCCATGCAAAAGACCACGACCCCGCCTTTCAAAATCTCCTGCTCCCTCTCCGGATTCAAAGCACTGAACTCCTCGAGATCACTGAGCTTGTCGCTCTCCCAATCCTCCCCCAAGAACGCGGCCAGATTCTCCCTCGTTAACGGCGCCCTGACTGCCTGGTTTTGAACAGCAGGCACACCCAAAGCTCCCCCCACAACCTCCGCCTTCAAAAGGCAACCAATGTTCATGGCCCATTTGACGTCGCTGTTGCTGACTGCGCTGCGGTCCACAATCGCAACGGTGATGAAGTCTTGCGCCTTGCGGAGATCTTGATCCTTCTTAGCTGCCTGCGCCTGGGCGATCATGGCTGAGGTCCACTCGGGCTGGATTTGGACCTCCCCGAGCCTGGCCGGCTGTAGGGGCTCGTAAGGTTGGTTGGGGTTGTTGGCCGCGCGGTGGAGGATTTCGGTGTTGATGGTTGGAGCGAAGTCGGGGGCGCGCTTTGGGGTTGACTTTGTGCGTGCCATAGCGTGGATGTAAGCTTTGCTCGTATAGTGTTTTGAGGGTAGGAAACGGTTTGTGGTGGTTGGTATGAAATCGAGGGTGGGTAATGGGGGTGCGCGGGAGGGAAAGGCCGGGCTTTTCGCTGCGCTGGACACACCTCTACCTGCGCTGTCTGAACCCTCATCGTTTTCGAAGCGTGCTGTAGCAAGGAGAATATGTTACTCGTTGGAAAAGCATTTGCTGATGTCTCAGTCAAGATATAGCAAACAAATGAGTAACTGGGTATAAGATGCCTTCATCACTAACGAAATTTGAGGTCCAGCTTCTCTTCGTATCAGACAATAGCAAGAAGAACTTGCCACGCCGTGTCAGTTTTCAACATCCCGCTCTTCAAATTCTTCACATCTCACGCGCCCACGTCACTCGTCTTGACACGTCACCTGCGCAAACCATCGCCTCCTCAAAACCCCATCGATGCCTCCATCACCACACCCAAAGTCCCACTCGATATGATATCCCCACCACAAAGCTTCTCTGACCTGGAGCCCTACGTAGATACCGAAAGCGAAGCCACACCTGGCGCGAGTATCAGCGGGACACTCGTTGGTCATGCCAGCGACGTAGGATCTACACCAAACTTACGTGAGAGCGACATATCATCGCGGACGAATCCACTAATCACGCATTCCCGACCGCCGCCTCCTCGCGATCCACCTCGTACTGACGATGTGCCCATCAAATACTACGACAACGATCTTGATGGGGAAGAAATTAGATTGCGAGAGTCGCGTTCAGGACGTGTGCCGCGCTCTCAAGATGAAGAAAGCGGATTCAGTACGCCGACAAGCCAGGCCTACCGAAGGCATAGGCGTCAATTTTGGGAAGATATGAATTGGGACGACATGAGTTGGAACGATCGGATACGGTGTATAAGCATTTGGGTGCTGTTTTGTGTGTTGGCCTTGGCCATTTCGGGAGCGACAGCCATAATTTGGGTCCTTGTAGTGCAGTAGCTGGGAATTACGGAATTTTGTGTGCACAATAAGACTTCAGGAAGACATATGCTTGGTCTGCTTCAAGGGCTTTTTGAGAATAGTGATAATGGCTAGAAATGGTTGAAGGTGTGCGGAAGATAAATGGAGTCTTGAAAATGAGAGATAAAACGTGATTCAAGTACATCAGGAAGTATTGAGAACGTGTACGGTCGGAATTGATTCGAACAGTGTGAGGAAAGATATGCCCATGTCACGACGACGTGAATCTATCCCCATGACATTATATGCGACTGCCCGTGACCTCCTGCAAATGCCAGTTCTCTCCCGTATACTGCAGCTTCACTTTGGTGTGATGCGACTCTTGATCCACTTGCTTGAGCGTCTGCATACCGTTGTTACGCTCGGTCGTATGTAGCAAGACCATGGGCGATGTTTTCCAAAGCGGCACCTCCATGTTTTTCGACTTGAAAATGGTCGCAAAAAGGAACATGGTGATGGCAAGATATATCGCCCCAGGAGGTATGATCCAGTTAAAGTCGACTGCGATATACTGCTCAGAGTTCCATTCAGACCCACGAACAATGGACAGTGGGGAGGTCGTGTTGCCAGCCCGCAAGGCATTGCTCATGGCTATGGCGATGTTGTCGATACGTCTTTTGAAGCCTTCGACACCGTAGTTCGATTCTAAATTGGGGTCACAAGTAGCTGGAGTTGGACCTAGGATGTCGCCAACTATGTTTGGGACCCACTGACCAGAGTAGTAATTGTCATAATCCTCTGCAATCATGGCTGCACCTTCCAGTGTACGGTCGAGTGCGGACGACCATCGCCACAGATCCTTTGCGCCCACGCAGAATGAATCACCGTTATAAGGCTCTGACAAGCAAATTGTCGTGTCCTCGTCACGTGGGTCTTGTGCAGCCCATTGAAGATCATTCTTTGTGTCAATTATCCTCGTCTTCATTGTGTTGTTGTATTCGGAACTGAGCGTCTGTAAGCAAAGGTTCAAAGATCCTTTCAATGCCTTCCAATTCGCCGCCTCGCGAAGTCTCTCACTCCATTCTGCGGGAGTAGGTTGTTTCTTCTCGGCATTACACGCGGGGAAGTAGGCAGTGTATATGTCTGAGACCGGGGGTAGGTGACCATCGGTGATGTTCGCTGAATCTTTGAATGGAGCAGCCATCCAGAATGAATCAGGTACGGAACCACCAACCGATAGCTGCATAGGAGGATTCCACGATGTTCCAGATATTTTAAGATATGGGATGGAACCCCAGCGCGTGCTGTTGTCAATACGAATTTCGCCTTTCACCTCTTCCACAGACGCGCAGATGGCAAGAGTTGTATAATCTTGCCATTTGCACGCTTCGGCAGTGCAGCTGCCTTGAATGTCAGAGATACTTTTATCATGATCAAGTAAGCCCGAGAGGATGGCCTTGTACATTTGTGGATGGACTGTGAGAACGAATCAATTGCGGCCTTTGCAATGCTTTGATGACCAGAAGAAGTACGTACAGTCTGAAACACCACCCTTCGAAGTATTAAAAGCACCCTTTCTGTCCAAATCGACTAACGTTGTGTTCCATGTCCTGTTCATGTACTGAACAGAGCGGGTGATTGTGGCATTGGACAGGTTATCTGGCTTTTGGACATTGCGTATGCTGATCGAGTTGGTCAATTGCGTGGCCGACGAAAACCCAAGGAGTAGGATGGTCGCTAGTGCACCGACGGACACAAGATGCCTATCTCTATTAGTTATGGTCGGCTAATAAGAGTTATAAACATTACGCTTTCGTTTTGAAAAGTAGCATTAGACTGCCTTGAGGTCCTCGAGATGCTTCTTCGAATTTGCCGAGGTCAGATGCTGACCGTGTCTGGCGAAGCCAGTCCCACTTCAACTGACCAATGCACGCTGAGATAGAGAACAGCAGAGCTGATTGTACAATTTGTGATAACGCAGCGATGACGGGTGCTGGCAGGAAACGTGATGTCCATTCTTTCAGTGGGCGGTCACGATAGACGACCAAAAGCGCAACGATGCAACCGAGGGCACATGAGCCGAGTAGCCATGTTGCAATCTCATATTTCCACTCGCGTAGTAGTGTGTACACCGATCGTGATGGTGACCTTTGGGAAGGCGATGTATGAGAGTCCCAATCCTGTTCGTGTTGCCTGACAAATGGCTCAGCTTGTTTGCCCAATGACGAAAAGGGAATCTCTTCTGGGTTCTGTGGAGTGCTATGATATTGTGGTCCGTTGCGGATCATCTTGATGTACGATGCTCTCAGAGGTAGACTGTCGGGCGGAGAAGAGTAGGAGGATATTTATCCCCCAAAACACCGACCCAGACTAAATACGCCATGGTTCAGCCTCTTGCAAGACTAGAGGACTGTAGGGCCGGAGTCTGCACGCCGTTCGATTCACCATGCTTGGCACCAGTGAAATTCATCCAGTACCCATGTGACATTCCCGCGTACCGTGGTCTAGGTATGTGGACAACAAATCTCAGTAGCCCAAAATCGAAATTGTGCCGTGCATGGGGGCGGTTATGGCGTTGACAGCTGGGCGTAGGTGGGGGCAAGACTGTCAGGCGGCGTATCAGAAGGAGAGCTTCGCAAGGCGTTCATCAGTCTAATTAGCAGGCGGTCTCTGGCCCGTGAGAGGCGGCCCGCCTGACGATGAAGGATGCTAAACGAGAGCAAGCTTCGTCTTTCGTCTTTGGGGGGACTGTGCGCTTAACGGGCGGACATCTTTATTTAGATGGCCCACGCGGAGTGAGTTCGGCCCCTAGACCCTAAGCTGAGTGGCCAGGCGACGAGCTATTGTAGAGCAAAATTTTCCTTCATTGCGATCTGGACGGATTTCATCCGCTTTGGTGATGCTGAAACAGGCAACGTGCAGATGAAGTTGCGTTCAGAGGACGTTCGACGACATGCAGGGCGGAGAGCTGATCGATGTGGCTTGGCACGCTAGGACAGATGCATCCAAGCGCGATGCAGGGGTCTCGGAATTCACGATGTTCCAGGAAGCTTACATCACACTTCGTGTACAGCTCGCTGTCCTTTCACGCTTCGACCATGCCACGATGAACAGCGAGTCGCAGAAGCTCCTGCACGAGCACCCATCGGACAGCGACTCCGATCCCGAACCAGAACGCAGGCCTAGTCCGGGACATCTCTCCCCATCGCCGTCGTCCTCCCGAGCCACCTCCACGTCTCCAGCTCCTCCCGGATCGCGACCCAATGGCTTCAGCCAAAAGCGGCAGTCATCATTTGCGCGGCCTCGTCTCGATGGTGTCCCACGGACTCCGAACCGAGTTCGCTTTGACGATGCCCCCATAGGGGCCGAGAATGGCGACAGAGACTGGATAGAGCTGGAGGGAGACGACTACATGGGCGCAGACGGACATGGCGGCAGAGAAAGGGTACAGCGGCTACCGCTCCTCACAGGCATCGAGGCGCCGAGCGTCACCGTAGCAGAGGATTTTGACCCTGAGGACTACCTGGAAAGCGCCAGGCCAAGAAGCGGCATGAAGAGCGCCTTCATGAACATGGCCAACAGTATCATGTGGGACGCACTCACTCGATGTCAGGGATTACCGAGTGCTAATTTGAAGCAGAGGCGCAGGTATCATCGGTCAACCCTATGCTATCCGCAACGCCGGCCTCGTCACAGGCACCGCCCTCCTCATTGGCCTCACAATCATTGTTGACTGGACCATCCGATTGATCGTAATAAACTCGAAGCTCAGTGGCACAGACTCCTTTCAGGCTACGGTGCAACATTGCTTTGGCAGGTCAGGTTTGATAGCCATCTCACTGGCACAATGGCTTTTGTATGTGAGGAACCGTGCAAATACAAGGATATGCTCTGACGAATCACAGTGCCTTTGGTGGTATGGTGGCATTCTGCGTCATTGTAGGCGACACAATACCGAAGGTCATGGATGCTCTGTTCCCATCCTTGAACGAGATGTCTTTTCTATGGCTTTTGACTGACCGCCGGGCGGTCATGATTTTGCTCATTCTGGGTATCTCATACCCGCTTTCCTTGTACCGGGATATTGCGAAAGTAAGTGCATCGTCAAGCACGATGCGAGAAGCTAGCTAACAATCGCAGCTTGCTAAAGCCAGTGGCTTCGCACTCGTCAGCATGACCGTTATCATCATTACTATCATAACGCAAGCTTTCCGGGTCCCAGCCGAGTACAAGGGACAACTGCGTGGCTCTCTCATTATACACACTGGTATTTTCGAGGCGATAGGTGTCATCTCCTTTGCCTTTGTCTGTCACCACAACAGTCTCCTCATATACGGTTCACTCCGCAAACCCACCATTGACCGCTTCTCGCGGGTCACACATTACAGTACTAGCATCTCGTTGATCGCTTGTCTTGTCATGGCACTTTCCGGATATTTGACGTTCGGCGACAAGACACTCGGCAACGTGCTCAACAACTTTCCCAACGACAATCTGATGGTCAACATCGCGCGAATCTTTTTCGGGCTGAACATGCTCACCACGCTGCCGCTTGAAGCCTTCGTGTGCAGAGAGGTAATGAATGAATACTGGTTTCCGGACGAGCCTTTTGATCCGAATCGACACTTGATTCTGTCGACATCACTGGTCATTTCGGCATTAGCGCTTTCTCTGTTGACTTGCGATCTCGGTGTTGTGTTTGAGCTTTTTGGCGCTACTTCGGCGTGTGCGCTTGCTTTCATTCTTCCTCCGTTGTGTTATATCAAACTTTCGAAGAAAAGCTCGCAAACGTACCTGGCCATGGCGGTTGTAGCATTCGGGTGCACTGTCATGATCATATCCATCGTCAAGACCACCAGCAAGATGGTGATGGGTACTGGGGAACAAGTTAAGTGTAGTTAATGTATTCTGTATGCATATAGGGTAGCATTGGTAGGTGTATTGGTATTTACAACAGTGCGCAAGCGCTTGCATTGGGACAAGTGGATTTGACGCTTTTAAAAGAATTATACATTTTCTATCATAGTGGTCCTGAACCTGGCATTCGCAAGTTTGCCTCGCGACCGGCTAACACGGCGCGTCGCTGATCTCGAAGTTGGATTAAGCTCACCAAAGCTGGCACGCCAGGGTCCGACGACCCACAAAACGACGATTTAACCAGACCAGCGCTACCAACGACTTTCTTGACTAGATGCTCGATAGCACTTCGGACACCAACCCCAATTGCTCTGCATTCACTTAGCAATGACGACGCGGCGGTAAGGTGCATATGTTGTGGTCGCAGATCACAGCTGTTTTCGGGCACAAGATTGACGTCATACAGGGATGCGACCCGCGATCTTGATTTCAAGATGCCCAGGAACCACAAGCGATGTCATACCTGGGGTGCATATAAACTCACGATATAGCCTCACATTCCCATCTTTATCACCGGGCAATTTCAAGTCTCTATCAAAATCCCTACAGCCAATTCTCATCGTCTATAACTTGAGATCTTCGTCTCTCACGTCCATCACAATGCCTATCTTCGGATCCCGCCGCGAACCCTCCCCGCCCCCAGCGGCTCCCCAGAAAACATCAATGTTCTCCCGCCGTCGCTCATCTTCGCCTCACCGCACCTCAACCCATCACTCTCACACCACCACCACGACATCCCCCAAGCTCACCTCCGGCATGTTCTCTCGCAGCTCGCACGACCCCAGCATCACCGCCGCTACGCAGTCTTTGCGCCAGGCCGAAGCCGCAGAACGCGATGCTGATCGCGCTCTTCTCGTTGCGAAGAATGCTGTAAGGGAGGCGAGAGAACATGTTCATAGGTTGGAGAGAGAGGCTGCTGAGGAGGCGAGGTTGGCGAAGATTAAGCAGAGTGAGGCGAAGGCTTTGGGAAAGAAGGGGAGGGCGCTTGGACGTAAGTTTTGAAAACTCAATGGGTGGTTGAGTTTGTGCTAATATGTATTGCAGGTCACGATCACATCTAGAGCGAGAGCCATGTGTGTCCGATACAATTGATGAAAGCGAGGCGTTTTTTGTTGTTGTTTGTTAGCGTGTAGCGAGTACTGTTCAATACCCAAATATTCTGTGTTTAATGCTTTTTGTACATGCTCTCCTGATTCATTGGTGATTCTCCTTTGGTCGTGTTTCGCGGAATGCCGTTCGACTCTTCCCTGGGTTTCCATCATCACAGTAGCGAATGTTTTCAGTCAAGACAGCATGGCTGAAACGCCACGAAGAGAACGCTATACGCTTTGCTCGATACTGAGTGAAAGTGCAGGGTGATTATTTGCTAAACTAACGCCTGGGTGCATATATGGTGTAGTTAGTCCCACTAGCTCGTTTGCTACTAGTAAGTCATCCTCTAGCTTTGTATTGAGTGATGTGCTACTCTCGCTCTCTCCACCCATCAGCACTTCTAAAAACCCAACGGCACCACTCGTTCTCACGGGGCACAGCATCCGCGCAAGCATGGCCGCCGACAAGAGGTAAGGAATTTTCATCACATTCCAGCTGTAGGGACATTGAGCTAATTTACGGAATCATAGGACTGCGGAGAATCAACTGATGTCGCGGTTCATCCGCCTGCCCGCCGAGCTCAGGAACCGCATTTACCAATTCACTTTCCACGACACTACCGTCAAAGCCTACGAACGAAAGAAACACCATAAGCAGCTCCACAGTAAGAAGTACCAACCATCTTGTGGCCTGATCTTCGTCTGTCGCCAGATTCGCCATGAAGTGCTCGGTTCGTTCTACGCAGCTTCGACATTCGACTTCACAAATGTTCGGCAAGGCTTGCATGCTGGCACTGTGTGGTGGCTCGACTCTATCACGTTTTTTGGGCTATGCTCTATCGACGTACCACTGGAAAACATGATGGATGTGTGGTTAGGAGCCACTTGTTGTAAAATTAGAGAACAATATCTCGAACAATTGAACCTCGGTTGGTTGAGTGGAATATTCCCAGCCTTGAGTCATGTTTGCATATCCAATAGTTTTCCACTGGATTGGCAAATTAGCGTGCTGGAAGACTTGACTGAGTTTGTGAAGGGTGTATTCAGGAGTGGCACAATGACAGTTACTTCTCATACAGTACGTAGCATCTGAAGCTAGATTAATGAAGTCCGCTGCGACAGCGGAATAGACATTGGGGCTTCGATTGATGTAGATAACAAGTAGACTTATACAGATATTCCAAACACTGCAATATCTTAATCTTCATCATCGCTGTTTCGTAGCACAGTCGGGCATAGTGAAAGGATCCCCGGTGACATCATGCTACATCTCCCGCCTAGAGACAGCGCCCCCTCTAGAACCTTCATTGGGTCTTTTATTAACTATCCAGGAAAACGCAGTCATTTTCACCTCCCTGCATGAGAAAGATAAATGACACTAACACCTCCATGTTTGTCTACGGTCTAAACAGTGAGAGATGTTTGTACACAATTAAATTTGTACTCGGCGCAGCGACCCAAAATCAACATTACATCAGACACATGCTGAGCTTTTAAATACGGTACATAAGCTCGTCTTCGCCAATACGTGCGTCAAAACACTTCCAAGGCCCGTTCCAGCTGTTGGCACCTATAACCATCGAGGTGCAACATCACTGGATTCTATCTGCTGCCATATCTATTAGGCGGTATCGCGACTGTTCAACAGTAATTGTATCATTGGCTTAAGCCTCATACTTCTGCGGCTCTCCATAGCACGACGCTGTGGACCTACCACAACGTGTCTATCCGCGGAAAACCTCAGTACAATGCACCAGAAAATCACGCAGATGAAAACTTTGTATGTGTTTGAATTTTTTTCCTTCGCTTCATGATGCGCCCCTTGGACGAAGTCGCGAGGTTCGATTTACACAATTCAGATGGCAGCCAATGCAAAGCATGTCAGCCCGCCCCCCCCCCGTAATGGTGTTGCTAGAAAACTGGAGAGCGAAGCTGTATTTTTCAAATCAACGATAACCCAAACATCAATCGTACCTGCCCCGTCTTCGACCCCAGAAGCGGTTGAGGAGATTCAGAGAAATGATCGGTCGGTCGCGTGATATCGTCTGAACATCCACCTGGCTGCTGAATTCCTCATGGTCGTTGTCATATGGAGATTGGCTAGTCAAACTTCCTCCTGCTCTTCGCTCAAAGACCGGACGATATTGGGCTTGCGGAGTGGTGGGACCCCTGCCAAGCGCGTGTTCGAGGTCGAATTGATTGCGATGCGAGTTCATCTCGAACACCTGCGCCTCAAGATTGCGCATATCCGTCTGTGTAACTTCGATAAATAAATCGCAAAGGAAAAAGCCGAATGCGATCATCGAAGGGGTGATACACGCGGGCTCTAGGTCGATGAGTGCTCTCCAGGCACGGCCGATAGCCGGTACAGCCATGACGAGCACGATGACGACGAGAGCGAACATTAACCCAGGCACTGTAGCTAGTACGCTCTTTCCCTTACTCAGATTGTTTCGAAGTATGATCCGCTTGCAGTATCCCAGCATGAAGAAAGCATGGACCAATCCAACCCCTGTGCGTATCGCTTTTGCAGATCCTGTATTGCCGTGGCCGGGAGGCACTTCTATTGAAGCGAAAATAGTACCGGAGAAAAGCATAAGGCCAGCTAGCCAACCTTCCGCACGTTTTCGAAGAAGAAAGTTTGTTGCAACACCTCCGAGGGCGACGACAAGAAGGGGAGGGAGCAAGAAAGCACAGGATGACAGGGCATATGTAAGCGAGTTCAAGGCTCGATGTCTCCAATCAATGCTATCATCGGTAGTTGAGCCTGATATGGGTGCTGCTTCTGTAACTGGGATGAGAACGATGCATCCAAGCTGTAAGATTTGGAACCGGCCGGATGTCCTGATGCCAGTGATTCGAGGCAGTGCAAAGAATAGTGAGAGACTCATTGGGTCGAATGTATTTTTTGGATGCGTGCTTTGGTGATCGGAACAGGCTTCTTGAGTCGAGCGTTCGGTCCGTCGGTATTGTGGAGAGCTTCCTCGAGAAGCGGCTGCAGCCGCAACGATCACCACACTCAACAATTGAGGTTCAACTGATGATGATGACAATCTAAGGCCGTTCCTGAGCGGTGAGTAAGTGTCAGAGGTTCGCACGCCAACACATCTTCTTGCAGCCTCGGCAAACTGGCTTTCACCTGACGCTTCAGCGGGTTGCACTGGTGGACCCGTTCGATTTGATTCTAGCCCAGCTTTGGCTAATAACGAGCAGATTTGGGTGTCAATCAGATTGAACGAAGTGACGAGCTCCATCGAGAGGAACAATGACAGAAAGGCAGCGATCAGTTTGGCAACCGCAGAGTTATGAGGTTTCCCATTCTCTGGCGTTCCAAAATTACTGGTTGTGCTTTTCAACATTTCACCCTTTGAAATAGCGTCAGACAGAAGATTGATGCGGCGGCCCCGCAGATTCGTGGTCTCTCCTGTGGCATGTGTGGCGGGTTTGTCGTGAATAAGGCTACTACCACGCGTATCAAGTTAGCAAAAGGTTTCGCTGCACATAGAGAGAGTAAGAACACACAAGGGGCTCGATAAGTCTTCTTTCCGGCTAAGTAGAGGCCATCGACTTTCCATAGCCACTGTTTCTGTAACGAGTTTGACGGCTCAGAAAACGAAGGTTATGGCGGAGAACGGCTCCGAAGCTGGTTCCTTTCCGACCGGCAAACGAAGGCACAGGAGCTGTGGTCGTGCTTGGAGCAGAGATTGCCAGATGTAAAGGTATGCAATGTCAAGACACTTAGCGCGGGCCTTGAGAGAAATGTGAAGCAATTCCTCCAAGTTGAGATGAAGAATGGCGTGAAAACAAAGAGAGTCCAGGAAGGTGTAGCAGCTTCGCATAGCTAGGCTCGGACTGAACTCTTTGGCCATGATGGTGCGGCTGTGCAGTTGTGCGTGGAACGCAAAATCAAGGCATACGGCATCGGGCTGAGCTGAAAATGACGTGTCAGTTTCACTTTGGGCCACTTCAGCTGACCGGTGAACTTATCCACCACTTGGTTCTGGATGCCATGCCTCATTGCTTTGGAGGAACAACAAAATTTTTCTTCGTTGTTATTCCCACAGGAGCCGAATGCATCCTTCTTGACGCTTTGTTGAAACTGTCGCAAACAACCGACGCCGTTGTGCAAACATCATGAGCACCTTCGAGAAGACTTGGCGTCCTGAATTCACCAGAAGATCTTCAGCAACAGACACATCTTTCTGGACCTCGGCCGCCTATCAAGAATTCGAAAAGGATATCAGCTTCGACGACCTATTCTATAACTTCGATGCTGCGTACTGCCCTCAAACTTCAGTACCGAAGGACGAGGATAGCTACAAGGCTTCGTCACCGCTGTGCCCATACACAGACCATCTGGAATACGAACATAACGAAAACGACACACAGCCCTGATTATCGTTCTTTGGCAAACACCATAAACCTCACGTACGAACCACTGTCACAACCCGGAGAGCACAATGCCACCAGCTTTCTCGGAGAGGAGAGATTGTTTGCAACGCTTGTTAGGGCGCCTTGTCATGCAACCAGCACCGAAATACCGAAGGCATCATTGGCTCCTAGCGCATCTACGTTGAGTCAAAATTCGCAGGCAGAGCCCGACTTCCTCGTCTGCGATGCGTGTAGCACGTGTTTTACTGGTGCATATCGCTCGGCCAATCTGGCGCGCCACATACGACAGATGAATCATGGTTACCCACGATCAGAGCGACCATTTGCACCTTTGAGGGCAGATATAAAACACCACTCGCGAGCTTCTTTGTGCGGAAAACATGATCTTGAGCCAGACGGTATACCTCTTCCCGGCCAACATACCGCCTCATGCCTGTGTCGAGGCACTGTCTACCCGATGTTGATTCACGAAAGCGCTTCAGATTTAGGTATGAAAGACATCCAGTCAGTATATGCACTCAAGGATTCAGAAAAAAAGACTTCTCGCTTCGATACTGAGGTTCAAATGTTGCGCATGCTCGAGTGGTCCAAAACTCCAATCAGATCAATGGGACGACAACGAGAGTGGCGTGTTGAGGAAAAGCAGAACAGTAGTTGTAATTTTGTCCACCACGGGTACAAGGCTATACACAATTGCAAGCCAATCTGGAGTTGGATGTTTTTGACCCTAATCCTTTCAGCGAGCCAGGTTGTGTATTGTCTTGCACTGAGAAATTTCGAGATATGTCAAGGCGCTAGTACAGGAAGCTGTGGGCCTTCGCTTGAATCTGATTTTATCTTGGACAAGCTGTGGGCACATATGAATAGTTGGTCATACGAAGTAAGTAATCCAAAATCGTTGCAGGCTAGTTGCTAACAGGTGTAGATTCGTGGCGCACTTCCAGCCTCACTCTTAGGACACATGAAGAGTCCTTCGCCATTTGCCTTTGCCTGCATCGCTTTCCTATACTGCACGACGGTCTTCATACAGCAGCGCATCAACATAGCTGATCGATATCAATACGTGTCTGTCGTAACAGGAGCGATGATTGGGTTGGGGCTTCTGGCTTCTTCTGTAGCTATCAGCGATGGGCGCCCAAGGACCACATCTACGTTGGCTTTCAGTGTTTCCGTATCGATGCTCTTAGGCGCATGTGCGGACAGTATCCGGAGCACAATTCTGTGCCATCGCAAGATGCATCTACGTTCCGAAACCGACGAATGGATGCAGTCGAGTATGCTCGAGCCAGAGAAAGGCCGAGCCGAGTGATCCACCTTCACAAGATCAGTTGATGCTCATCGCCAGCACGAAGCTGGACATGGTCTTGCCGTTAGAGATCCAAGAACATGGTCGACAGTCTTGGGAGAAAGCGCTGCTAGCTTGGGACTGGACTCGTCTGATCTTGCATCGCTCATCATTTCGTTTACTCGTCTTTTGCGTCCACCGTCTTCTTTTATGGGTCATTGTTACGCGCTCGAATTGTAAGGGCACGCAAGTTCAAGTTCGTGTAGGCCCCTGTTGATGTTGTTGTTCGTCCATCGGAGCATGAAAGTGTTGTTGCCTGTTCACTTCACTGGCAACTTGAGCACTGAATTGTTGATGCACGTCCAACTTAGCACGAAGGGTATCTACTTTCTATATTCGCCTATCCACGAATCCATGTACTGCGACTTTGATAGAGATCAGGAGGAGTTGGTGTTCGTCATGTTTCTATCGTTATCACTTATGGGAACTTTGATCCTCTGTCACTCTTTATACAATCCAAGGATTAAATCAATATTGCTACATTTGAAATCAGTGAGATAAGTGATCAGCGGATGTTTTGGGCATGCAAAGCTGTGTGTGTTTGAACTTTATCAGTCTTGCGAGTATTCATAGAGGTTCTCTTTCGTCATTGCCCAGTGATCAGATATAGTTGAATATGAAGATGTTCGGTTTTCAACTTTCTCTGCATGGAATTACATAGTCTATTGACGACCCTGAACAGGTCGAGAAAACGCCACGACGCTCGGGGTGCAATAGCACCAGTCTTCCCATCATCACGTATAGAGCTCGTTCTTCAATGACTGAATCTTTGAATTTAGCCTTATGCATTCTTGGGACGATACATTTTCCAGAATGGGTTCCGATCGATGTCACGCTATTTAGTTTGTGCAGTCGCTTTGAGCGTGCAGATCACGGTCAGTAAAGAGCCTCGTCGAATCTACCATGATTTGTTGTTCTAGAATTTGGAGACTTTCTCAACCTGCTTGACGCTTCAAAGCCATCAACGGCCTCTCCAGCTTCGTGTGTGTTAAAAACGGATTCTCTGGAATTGAGTGCCCATCTAAGCGGAAATAGCTGGAGATATCTGCTTGGCCACAATCGAAGCCCTAGCCTGATAAGCATGCACCTACACAAGTATTCATGAACAGAGTGTAACTGTCCTTAGTGTATGCATGGAGGGTTAAGAGACCGTACCGCGTAGATGATATAGAAGCAGTATACCCACGCGCAAGATACTCGAGTATCACACACATAGTAGTAGACGAGTTTTCTGTGTGTGACCCAAGTTTCGATGTCTTCACATCATTGGATAGGCCATCTGAACTTCCAGCTCTCAACCACGTGGAGATTTGGTGCTCTCGTAGTTGCTATTACAGTGTCGAAGAACGTGAAACCATGTTATTGAATGGTTCTATGGCTCATGGCCTCAAGTTCGATATCATTGACATCTCACAGTTTGCTTTAGTAACGAGAGGTAATATCGAGGTCGGATTATCCCACAGATACCTAGAGTTTCGAGTGAGCGATTGCAAACACGTGATTAAGATTAGCATGTTTTTGAAACGTAATGAGTCTACCGGTCGGTCTTCAACGCGTGTCAGTGGGCAAAGGCCTTGATGGAAACGATCGAGATGACTCGAAAGCCAGGTACACGAGATGTTAATGCCAAGCTTTCTGTTTGTAATGACCCTCCCCGAGGTCGCGCCCTACACTTCTTATCTTGTCTCTCCACATCTCGACACGTCGAACCTGAGCCCAGCCTTCCGAGCAAGAGTCGGCGACATGGATCTCGGCAATTTGCATCGAGAGGCTATGTATGGAGTGCACGCATTTCCGTTACAGTCAGTAACTAAATTAACAACCCGCAGTGCCCGGCGCAACCAGAAACGCTCGCCTCTGTTGCGCCTTCCCGCAGAGATCAGGTATCGAATTTATGAGCTCATATTCACTGGAGCTACGGTCTATGTGCTTAGCCCGCATATGGGCTACGAGACCAAGCCTATCGAGTGGACAGCTACGTTATCACCAATCAGTGCATGCCGACAGATCCACCACGAAGCGAAGGCGATCACGTAGTACTAGTATTGAAAGTTCAATATCACCGACCTAGACCTGCCTGGTGTTGTTGGGGATCTTAAGGATCATAGCCTGATACAGCATATCGTCGTCTCTGCGACGGCAGCAAGATGCTATGTGGACGAGCTCGAAAATCTGGGAAACTTCCAGGGCATAATGATATTTCCAGGTCTATTGCGTCTCGAAGTACGCCAGTTGAAGAACCCTCCCGGGACACTAGATTATTGAGTACATGATCCGTTGCTCGACAGCTCAGCATTGGTTGCCGTAGCAAGAGCGTTTTTCGAATAGCCTGACTTGGAGCTTTCTATGCTCGATCACGACGGCGGTCTGGCATCCTCGAGGTGAGTGCAAAAGTGTTAAAAATCACTAGAATAACACTGGAAGCCTTGACTGACTTGCAAAAAGCAACTAGTTGGAGTTGACGGGTCGCTTCAGCCATGGCGAACAAGCACACATGATGCGTATGATGAGCCACATGCTGGGACTATGAAGTGGAACTATGAAGTGAGTGAATACAGAGCAATATGGATTCGATCGACGAAGATTTGTCTAGGAAGGAAATCGATAAAGACATCCTACTGAGCTGGATCAGAATCTCGTAACGACGCCATTGTGAAATGCAATTACCCATAGCGTTCTTCATCAAATTTATTTCATTTATTCCACGAGATACTCGCAGCCCATGTCTCGTCCTTCTTACCTGACTCCTCCCTCTCCCTCAATAGACCAATAGATGCTACCTGCACGTTCAATCTCTCTAATTTCAGGGGTCTCGCATCCTGGACGAGAAGCAATGAGAGGTCCAGGCTCATCCAAACCATCGCCATCGACACCTTTGGGTTGAACTACGTAGTGGAGCTGATGTTCTGGTCCCAACGTAAATTCCAGGACCATTTCCCTGCGCTTCGGCAAGTCATCGTCATGCGCGGTCGCCATCATGAAGAGTGCGATATCCCGACGCTGTGCTGGGACGTGCTGATATACAGCGTGGCTTCAAGGCCGTGGTCGTTGACGAAGACACGAGCGGACGTGTGAGAAGATAATGTGTCTATAAACAGAACTCGGGATTTGCGTGGTTGTCTGTAACAGATGAGCTTGAACCTAAAAGAGGCATGAGGATGGAAGGAGCAGCTGGTCGCGCTCTGGATGAAATACACTACGGCTCGACTGGACGAGCAGTCTGCTGCGAGATGGCTGGGGACCTGATACTATTGGACATGATCAGACCTATTCAGTATAAAATTATGAAGCCTTTTGAAAGATTGGTACACATTTCCACAATGTCCGCACCAGCCATATCGGAGCAGAGTCGTATCCTGCTCAACAAAATTTGGAGGTCGTATTGTACAATCGTGACGGCGACATAGAGCCCAAGAGATGACTTGGGAAATGCAGAGTCCACTAACATGTTCCTAGATTTATCGACTGACTTGCAAAGTAGCTAGGTAAAGCGTGTGAGTCGCTCCAGCCACTTCTACCTTTTCCTCCTCTCTCTGAACCCTCTCACACTCTCCTCCACCCCCCATCCGTTCCTCAACAAACCCCCAACGTCCTCTAACCCCAGCCCCGCCGTCTCAGGATAGATCTTCCAAACCGTCCACCACGCCACCCCACAAACGCCCGCATACAAGCCAAACGTGCCCGTCGGCGTGAAAAACTCCATCATAGGCAAGAATGTCACCCCAATAAGCGTATTGCTCCCCCAATTCGTCGCCGTCGCAAGCGCACTACCCAGACTACGTACTTGCAGCGGAAATAGCTCTGATTGCTGCCATGGGACGTTGCCGAGACCTGTGGCGTAGCCCGCGACGTAGGTTACCATTGCAATGAGGATGACTAGCGGCCATGTGCGATTGGAAAGCGTGGAAGAGCCGGCTTCGCCGGTGAGGTCAACATGCAGGAAGGCGATTGAGCAGAGGAGGAGGCCGGCGATCATGACTGGGATGGAGAAGAGGAGGATGCGGCGGCGGCCGACGCGGTCGATGAAGTGGAAAGCGAGGAGAGTGAAGAGGAAGTTTGTGAGGGCGATGGAGAGAGAGGTTAGGGTTGGGCTGTGGAAGCCGACGAGGCGGAAGATTGTGGCGGAGAAGTACATTAGGGAGTTCTTTGTGAGTGGTTAGTGTGGGAAATGGAAGTGGTGGGGAGGACTTACGAAGCCGCATAGTTGTTGGAAACCCTGTAGCATGCATGCGATGATGAGGGCGCGCCGGTTTCCGCCTACATTGACGAGTTGGGAGAAGTTGTCTTGCACTCTGGCGATTTTCGAAGACCAGCCAGTTTTAGAAGTTTGAGGGACGTTTCGAAGCCCGGCTGCGTCTTCCTCTTCGAGGATCTCTTTCTCGACTTTGCGCAGCACGCCATTAACCATTTTCTCCATCCCGTCCCCAAGACCATAAACCTTCCTCAACACTCCTCTCGCTTGTTCTTTCCTTCCAGCCTTTACCAGGTAGCGAGGTGTTTCTGGAAGGACGAAGAGCATGCAGAACTGCACTGCGGCTGGTAGTGCGCCGAGACCAACCATCCATCTCCATCCATGTGGTAGCGTGGAGAAAAGCCAGCCGATGATGTAGGCGACAACCTGACCGCCGGTGATGAAGAGACTTGAGACAGTGACAAGTCTACCACGGAATGCACTAGGCGCCAGTTCGCTGATGTACATGGGCACCACGAAACTCGCACTCCCCACTGCAGCGCCCACCACGCTTCGTCCCAGAATCATACCCCATACCGTAGTCGAGAACGCTTGTATGAGCGCGCCAGCAACGAACAAGACGTCCGCGATGAGAATGATGCTCCGGCGCCCAAGAGCATCAGCCAAGATGCCCGTAAGCGGCGAAGCCAAGAGAGCGAAGAACGACGTTGAAGAAGTAATCAGAGATTTATCGAGAGTTGTAAGGGGTCGATTAGACAATGACGAGTTTATAGAAATCAGAGTCGAGGATATTACACCAGTACTACAGTCGCGTAGTCAGCACAGAACATGGGACAATAAGGGGCGCATGATCGTTTTTTCACATCTTAGACGTACTCATAGCCAAACAACAGCCCACTGACACCCGCACACATTGTCAACCCCCATATGAACAATCCTGGCGCCGCCAGCGCGCTCTCATCTACTTCCACATCCTCGTCTGCATCGCCGTCCTCTTCATTCGGGTCGTTGCGGATGAGCGGTTCGGCAGCGGCGTCAGTCATGCTATGGAACTCTAGATCTTCTATTTGCGCCACAGCGCTATGGGCATTGAATGGCGCACTTTCGAGTCGTAAAGGTCTGGTGTGGAGGTAGGACCTGGAGTGCGAAGTAGGTTCCGACAGATCGGAACGCGGAATCTGGGGTCTCGCGACGCGCTAGTGCATCACTTGGTGCGTGCGCGTGGTCGTGTGCTCTTATGTCACTTTGCACACATGACTTTAGCGGACATAGCTAATTACAAGGAACAATGCATTAGGGTGCGCCAAGAAGAAGTTTGAAGTTGATTGTAGATTTTCCTATGGTGGTCAAAGTCATGTATGACTTGACCATCTGTCAAACTAGGCGCAGCGACAGTTCGTACTCCTATCAAGCTCACTTCCCGGGGCAGTGCTTGCGCTCCACCTCGCAAAAGGCTAGCTGTACCGTGCCCGATAAAAGGCATTGAATGAGGTCGCTAGTCATGCCCCTTGTCGTATTGCCGGCCATCTGTCCCTTCTGCATGTCCCTCAGTTCATCCCATCATCACCCGTGTCGACCTTCTTTTGAGCGCCAGCCATGCCCATTCAACGCCCATCGCTCATGCTTGAAACCATCTGCACGAAAGTTATGTGCTGCAAGTGCGCAGGACAGAGTCTCAAAGCCCACCTCACCAACGATGAGTCGGTATAGCTTGAGCGTATCGCTTTCGTTGTGAAGCGAATGACGCCGTGACCTTTCATTTCGGCTCATCGCTAGTCTCGGGCCCATGGTTGGCAGGCCCGGTGGGAGGGCCTTGAGGTGGCATCGAGTGCTGTTGGATCATAGGCTGCGCGTAACTACCGCTCGGAGTGCCACGGTGCTGGTGAGGGAACTGATGGTGCTGGTGCGGTGAGCCGTAATGTGGCTGGTGCGGCTGCGCATAAGGTGCACGCATGGGAGTCACTATGGCTATTAGTGAGTGCCGCTATAAAACATCAAGCAAAGGACCTACTCGAACCAGGCGGCATTTGGAACATCTGGGGTCCCTGCGCGCCCGCCGGCACATACATCATGGGCGGCTGTTGGTGTCCTTGTTGCGAGTTGGAGTGACTCATCATAGGCGCTCCAGGTCGTGGACTGTTCGGATAACCGTTTGCGCCAGGTGCACCAGGCATGTGTCCTGGGTATTGTGGGTACGCTTGGCTGGGCGCTGGCGAATACATCTGCATTTGAGGGTAGCCTGGCATACCCATAGGAGGACCGTTGGATGGTTGATGCGTCATCATATGACCACCCATTTGTGGTCCTCCCGGAGGAGCGATGAACTGGCCCGGGTTGCCCGTTACGCAGACCAACGTGTTGCACGTTTGGACTCATGCCATATTGCGGCATTTGCACTTGCTGCGGGTATCCGGACATTGGCTGTGGCTGGGCGCCATACATGTAAGGATGCATTGGTCGAGGTGAGGGGTGTACAGATGATGTGGAGTGAGAGAAGTGCATCTGCTGTGCTTCATAGTGTTGAAGGCCCTTGACCATGGTGAGGTTGGACTGGAGGACCGCGGGGAGTTTGCTGCGCCGTTTGGCCTTGTGGTATAACCTGTCCGCCTTGGAGATGAGGTGGCAGTTGATGTTGGTGTGGCATGGGCCCGTTGCCCATTGCGTTGTGGGGCGCGGAAAGTGGTGCTGAAACTGGCGTGTGTTCGAACATCTGCACATGACTCTTCTCAGTGTTGGCAGAAGGAAAGTCCCAGGTAGGAGGAGTACGGTACGGTGGAGGAAGGTCACTGCCATGGGGCTTATCCTTGTCCTTCTCCTGTACCTCTTTTTGAATCCGCGCGATGGCATTGAAGCTCTCCTTTGTCGCTGGCTGCTTTACCGGAGGACGCTGACCACCAAAAAAGCTGGTCACGGCAGGAGGCTTGCGGGGCTCTTGCCTCGCTGCCGAGGTCGGCCTAGGGCTGGAGTTTGTGCTTGGATTGTTGCCAGGCTGGAAGGTGTTTGCTGATGGGTTCGGCTTGAATTCGCTAGCGCGGACATTGAACCTGATAGCGGCGTTGGAGTTAGGTGTCTGAACACCACTAGAGGTCTGAGATGGCCCTGTAGGGGGCATGCGCAGATCCTGGGGTGGTATCGGTTGTGGGACGTTGTTGTAGGGCACGCCACCTTGCTGCTTGTGTTGCTGATGATTCAATTGCAGACGGGTGCTCAATAGACCCTGACCGCGTGGGGGAGCCTGATTGAAATTTTGCTGCTGCTGCGGGCGCTCACGCATACTAGCTGACGCATATGGCGGCTGTGCTGGTCGTGCCCGTTGGTTCTGTTGTCGATCAACGGTGGCACTTGGAGAAGCGTGCGTCGAGTCTGGCTTGGGAGCAGCAGGTTTCACAGCGGTCTTGGGGTCGGCCAATGTGCTAGCAGTCTTTGGCGGGGTGGTCTTCGTTTCCTGCGCTTGCTTGAGTGCTCTCTCCACGATGGCCTGTTGCTTGTTCTCGTCCTTGGCAAGAATAGGGACCAGATCCGAAGGCACAGGGGTACTCAGCTTGAAGTTGAGTGCAAACTTCTTCAGATCATTGAGCTTCACGGCCTTGTTCTCCCTCGCAACGACCCGTGACCGCTCCGCAATACGCATCTTCTCATTAGCGGAAAACTGCTTGAACGAGTCAAGAAGGTCATTTTCTACGTTTGTAGTTGCATCATGCGGCCGACCAGTCTTCCGTAGAGGGATCGCTGCTACACTTGGCTTGATTGCGCTGCTAGGCTTTTGTGGCTGGTCTGCGCTAGGCTTCGACACTGCTGGTGTTTTGATATCGTCTTTTGCTGGGATGGCTTTGGAAGCCTCAGAAACAGATGATGTGGTGGTACTTTGAGGCGCCTCAGTCTTTGTAGGTTCAGGGGCAGCTGCTTTCTGTGCCGCAGGGCTTGCGGTCCTTTGCACCGGCTTGGGCACAGAGTCGGGGCGTGCAACCGATGAGGAAATGATTGCAGGATCAATTGGAGCACCTGGGACAGTGGCTTGCGGTGCTGGAGCACGTCTCGCGGGAGGTGTGTACTTGTTGGGCTGGCCAGTTGAAAGTTGAGGGAAGTCTCGACGAACACCACTGTACTTATCCTCCTCGTCTCCGCCGTCGTCAGCGGCCATCTGACCTCCACGCTCTTCGCGAACGTGGGAGTTCATAGCGCTGCTGGCCTCGATCTCTCGCGCGAGCTTCTCGGCACGGGCAGCCTTCTGTGTATACTGGGGGTCGCTTCGGTCAATGGTAGTGGTGTAGAAGTTCTCATCGTAGTTGCTCTTGACTCCGAACATGCGTTCATTTGTTGCGAATTGATCCCATTCTGTCGAGCGACCAGAGGATTCCAGGGTCATGTTGGGGTCGATCTCTGTGGGTTCCCACTTTTGCAGATTGCGCTCGCGTATCGCCATGTGTCCGGAGATGTCAGTGTCAGTGCGGAAACCCGCGGTTCCGTTCGAACCCTTTGCCTGCGACCTGTCAAGGACCACATTGTTCACATTGAAGTCAGCGACATCGCTCATGTCGAATGACATGACATGGTAGTCTCCAACGCCAACATAATCGTCAGATATTTCGCCAGAGCCATTCGTCTGAGCATTGGCAGCTGGTAAGAGCTTTTTCACCATCTTGAAGACATAGCGCAGCTCGCTCGGGTCCAGCGAGGTACCTGAAAGCACGCCGGAATATTTCTCGCCATTCTTCAATGTAATGATGCCCGGCAGACCCTAAAAGTTGTACTCAGCATGGTCAGACGCAGCCAGCAAGTCGCTACACTTACAGTCAAGTTGGCCAGCAGGTACATCATCCGATCACTCAGATGCCGCATTGGAGTTGCAGTCTCGCCGGACGAGTTGGTCACCGTCTGCGCAGGTTTAGGGACGTTACCGACACCGTTGGAGGCGGGAGAGTTCGACGGTCGCTGGGTGATTGGATTGGTTCCCTGGGTCCATGCCTTTTGGGCGGGAGGCTTTCTGTGAGAGGAACTTGGTTAGCATGGCGCTCATGGAGAAGTGAATGAGAACGTATATTGGGAACGGTGATAGTGTATACATGGGCGAGGTAGCTGACACAGCCATTGCGGCCGTTAGAATATCGCGCGGTTGCACCGTGTATCCTTGTAACTGCCCGCGCGTTGCACCTAGGAATACCGCTGGGCGCAGGTGCAGTCCAAGAAGCTCACGATGCGTGGCCAGACAGGGCTACGCAGCTTGGAGGGTGGTAGTTGAGGGGTAAAGGACATCGGGGAGCGAGTTTGAGGGGAATGCAGGCGGGCCTGAAGCAAATAAAGACAAGCTTACCTCTGACCACCGTCGACAGGGCTACCAGGCTTGCGCTGTGCGTCAAGGCCCTTGCCAGTCGTGCTCATCTTCAGTTGTCGGCCAGGGTTGGAGGCGGCCGGGTTCAGAGCATTGGAGGAGCTGTTCGCGGTCGCAGCAGTGGACATGGAGGGACAGATGGCGCGCGGGTGAGCTCCGTGGGCGGGTCGGGAATTGTGGTTGTGGGAAGGAGCGATCGGCGGGGGAGGAAAGGGCGACCGGTGTGAGGAGGTGAGAGCAGCGCAGGACCCTCAATGCAGCGGAGAGGCTTGGGATAACGTGCAATGGAGCTGCCGGAATAGCCAGACGGCGTTTGGCAGATGTTATAGGAGGCTGTGCGCGGAAAAGTAGCCAGACGTCGAATGCGAGTGCACTGCTGCACTGCCAAGAGGGTGATCGGCAAGTTGAAACGACCAGGGTGGCTGCGGAAGCTAGTGAGGCTTGAAGGGATGTGGTCAGTGGTGGTCAGTGGAGGCAAGCCGTTTGATAGTCGCCGTCGCAAGGTCCGCGATGCTGTGAAAGAGCAGTGCGCAGAGTCTCGGTATCGAGTTGGAGTGGAGGTGCCAGTGTGTGTCGCTGGGGACGATGCGGTGAAACTCGTGAGATAACGCAACAGGAACTCCAAACGGAGGACTCGCAGGCTGCCAAGCCCTGTCCACGAGCTGTTCAAAGGATGCGCCTCACTATGCGCAGAGGTGCCCTATTGTCCTGCCAAACAGCCAATGCCAAACAATACCACCTGCTGCCTACCTTTGCAGGCAAACACCAATCCATTGCTACGGCATATTGAGGCGTCGGCCCCACAGTGCGCTCGTGAATGGTAGTCCCAATACATTACAACTATCCTACTAGTCGCATAGCGTCCAGCAGCACATAGCTGTGCGCTAACAGTCGGGGGCAAATGGGAGCCCTCAGGCGTTCGGGCCGCTAGCTTCCAATCGGACGTCATTCAGTGCTCCGTGTTAACGAGCTGGTGTTTGGAACATTCTGTTGCAACCATGGCAGAAGTGCGTGGTGTCGAGTCTGTTGCAGTGGGACACATCAACGCAATTCTGCGCCACACACGCGTACCTTGCAGCAGACAGATAGTAGTGGTGAGACAGTTCTAGCATATGGACATGTCAAAAAAGCAAGCACTCCGTTGTCTGAGTTGGAGTTGGAGTGATGCACGTGACGGATGGCGTTCCTGAGGCGGACCCGTATCAGAGCTATCCATGGATGTTTCCGATGCCAACCCCAACGTTGCCGAGAGCCATGTCGCGCGCTCCTCCCACGTCGCACCCATTCCCTCCATCGTAGCACTTCCAAATCTGGATTCACAATGACCGAAGAGGCCTCATCTGCCTCTGTCAGGTCCTCGCAGGGGTCTCACAAGCGCGCCCCTAAGAACGTGAGTCTGCCCTGCGCCCACATCTTCAATGTTGGACCCTCAGAGCCCGACTGCGGCAGCTAACACTTTGCGCGATGCAGCCCCAGCAGCAACTCTCGCAGATAGAGAAATCTGTCACCCACCTGCTAGTCGCTACGAAGCAGCTCCTCGGTTCGTCCAACGCGCCCCAGCACTGCACTGGAGCCCCCGCTGACACTGCGAAGAAACCCTAACGCTATGGTCTCGCGGGACTGCCACGGAGAGCGAAGTCTCCGATGTCTATGTGCGCCTTGGCTATGAGTTCAACATCGCGTCGCGCGCATTCAACGCCATCGGCGTCGACACGGGCGATCTCGGAAATGTCCCGGAACTGCTTCGAGGCATACTAGAGGAGACACTCAGCCAAGAAGCCTCGCAAGCAAGCCTCGACAACTTCCTGCCACGCATACGCGACATCATCATCAACCTACTCCACGGCCTGAAGAAGAAGCAGCAGCGGTTACGGCAAAGAACGGGCCGGGATGGCACTCTCAGCGGCGGCACACGGCAGGGCAGCATTGGCAGCAACGGAGACATCGAGGAGGCACAACAACAACGCTCACAAAGTACGAGGCTTCCTGCACGCGGCGAAAGCACTGAACTCGGAGAGAATGGGCCCAATCTGCCACCGCGATCCTCTTCGGTGGTGACCGGGCGCGCGTCCCCCAGCAAATACGACTCACTGCCGTCGAATCCAAAAGCTAACCGATCCACCGCAGCTAGCCAGCTGTCTTCGGATTCCTCAATCTCAAGCACTACAGCACAGCAGATGCCCGTCATCGCCCCGTACCCAGCAGACGATGGCATGCCCAAGCCTCCCGAGTCATCACAACCAAACTATGCCGTCGACTTCCCGCCACCGCCGCCACCGCCAAAGCAGGAAGACGCGTTTGCTGCACTGCAGAGAGGCGGAGAGCTGGAACGAAGAGCTTCACGGCGTTTCTCGCAGTACCAGATACAGAAGCATCTTGGGACCAACGGCATCGCCATTCCACCAGTCCAGAACTCTCCAGTACCGAATAGGGGTCGGGATGTGAGGGAGTCTATGAACGCAGTGCGCACCAGAGCCTCTTTGATGCACAGTCGGCAACGGTCGACACAGCAGCGGCCCGCAGTGGAAACGAAGTTTGACAATTCAAGCGACGTCAGGCGCATATCCGAAGAAAGTTCGCAAAGCTCGGTACCAAGCATAGCTCCTCCCACGGAACCAGAACCGCAAGACAGCCCCACACAAAAGACCCCAGAGGACAAAATCGGACCAGCGCCCACGTTCGTTGAGGGGGATAAGCCGGTGCTTGGTGCGACGTTGAACGGGCCCTTGTCCGACCCCATGGGCATGAGCGCGGGAGAGCTATCTGCCAAAGAATCCCTGAAAACCGCTTCTCTGCCAACAAGAGCTGGATCTCGAAGAGGGAAGTCGGTATCTCCGCATCCACAGCAGTTTATTCCGGAACAGTCGCCAGAGCCTAACAAAGAGCTCACACTGTTTTTGCAGTACAAGCATAAGATCAAGAAGTACGTCTTCGCTGATGGCTTTGATTTGTCTGCAGGACGCCTGCAGCTGGCTTTCATCGAAAAGTTCGCCTGGGATACACATCGCTATGGTGAACTGCCTGAGATTCACATCCAGGATCCTGTTTCGGGTGTGCGCTACGAGCTGGAAGACATCAACGATGTCAAGGATCGCTCAGTACTCGTGCTCAACGTGGAGCAACTCGACGAAGTCAAGAGCCATATCGACGACAAATTTGGCGGTCTAAGCCGATTGGTAGAAAGCATCAAAACTGTGGTCGATGACCAGCAGTCAACCATACAACGTGTAGCAGAACGGCAGCAACAGACAGCACGAGAACTGGCCGGTATCGCCGCTGCGCCTACGCTGAACTCAGCGCGCAACTCAGCCTTGTTGCCATCTCGACCAATCCCGAGTGGTCCTCCTGTGGAAGGCAGTATCAACTCTGCTGCACAACTAAGCGAAGTTCAATCGCTTCGCCGCGATCTGGCCGTGGTGCGGCAAACATACTCATCCTTTGTTTCTGATATTCAGGCCAGTATGTCTACAATTCGTACAAAGGCAAATGCTGTCAAGTCGACCGCTGTCAAGGCTGCACTACCGTCACTCGATGGTGATACCGGACGTGCTTATATCAACACTGGCAAGAAGTCGTTACAGGATGACTCAGAGAAAATCGTCAACCGGGTCGACGATCTCCAAGACCTGGTCGAAGACCTTCGCAAGGATGTTGTTCAGCGAGGAGTCCGACCTTTGCCTCGTCAACTTGAGGTTACAGCCAAGGATCTCTCCATTGCCACGGCTGAGCTCAAGAAACTGCAAGACTTCCTTGCCAAGGAAAAGCCACTGTGGACGAAGATCTGGGAGCAAGAGCTGCAGACTGTGTGCGAAGAAAGGGACATGCTTACCATGCAGGAAGAGCTTGCTGCTGACTTGCAAGACGATCTTGAGAAGGCTGCGCAGACACTTGAATTGGTCGAGCAAGCCACTAAGCAACAAAACCTGGAAACCGAAAAAGAGCAGACTGGACAGAAGGGCTTGCGTTCTGCTAGCGGTCGGAACGCGATTAATGCAGCTGCCCTAGACAAGGTTGTTGACCCACGTGAGGCTCGAGACGGCGTGCTCGGCGAAGTCAAGGCTTTACAACCAAACCATGAGAGCAGACTTGAGGCCATTGAGCGCGCTGAGAAGGCCCGACAACGCGAGCTCGCTACCAGAAACGACGATGAGTTCAAGCGCGAACTGGGCAATTTCGTCGAAGAAGGCAAGCTCAAGAAGAGCGGTGGTGTGGAAGAAGTTGAACGTCTACGAAAGGCCAAAGACGAGCGTGCTCGCAAGGAGAACGCTGAGCGGGAAGCTGCCCGTCAACGAGCCAAGGCAGAGAAGATGGAGCGAGAACGCGAGGCCGCTGCCGCCGCGGCCGCGGCAGCTGCAGCAAATCCTGAAGGCGCCGAAGAAGCATCTGAGGAGCCAGAGCAAGAAGAAGCTAAGGAAGAATCTGAAGGTGCAAATCCTTCATGATAACTCCCTAGCTGTTCTTAATCTCCATATCTGGTCCATGCTGATATCTAGAAGTCACGACTCCAGATGCAAAGACTCACGTCCCCGGCCTGATTCTCAAAACGATGACGGATACATCCAACGGCAGCACACCCAGCCCCTCCATGCCCACCCTCAGCGCCACAATCCGCATCGTCGACTCCACGCCTCGCCCGATTTCCCATAGCGAAGACTCCACATGGCCGTCTTCACCCGACTCCACACCCACACCCTCCCTCCACACTCGCAAACTTAAATCCCTTAGTTTGCGCAGCAGAGTCAGCGACTCTAGTTCTGACAGCACACCCACTCGCCCCCGCGCAAACACGTACGATCCACACACCCCCGAGCGCAAGAGAGACACGGATGCGGACAGCGTGGTTAGCTTCACGCCCAGTACGAGTAGCAAACGGTTGGCGAATTGGGTCTCGGGACTGTTGGGACGATGAGAAGAGGTATGTTCATATTGTATTTTGTAGCGACGTGTAATGTTGTTTTGTTGTTGGGAATATGGATATTTATATTGATAGGGGGAAGGGGAATGGAATGTGCATACTTTTGGAGCGTTCTTGCATGGCGTTTTAGAGGAAACTTTACTCTGGATGAGGGAGGGGAGGAGACGGAACGACATTATCATCATGCAATGCTATATACTTACGCTGCGAAATAGGTCAAGGAGTGTTTGGTGGAAGTGTGTCTTTTTGGCAATACTTTTCTTCATTGTGACAGAATGCTTCTAACAAGAACCTTGACTTTGATTAACGCCTCTCGGCCCAAATTGTATCCCCCAACTCTCCTATCCCAGTCCAAGAATCTTGCCCCTTGTCCAGTCACACCCATATACCCTAACGCCATCGCTAATGCAATTTTCAAATCTCCACCTCATTCCACATCTCACACAGCAGACTATCCCGCTTCTTACTCGGCGCAACAGCAGGCGTCTCCTAATTACCCACCGCGGTATCATTCAGCGCCACACACACCGCACCCCTATGATGTCCGTTATACTGCCTAATGATACTCTGACTGCCCAGCTCCCACAGCCTCGCATAATGATCACTACACGCCGTGACCAAGTACGCGCTATCCGCGCTAAACGCGCAGTCCCAGACCCAGCGCTGGTGGCCGTGCAGTGTAGTTTCGAGCGGGAAGGCCGCGGGGTCGCGCTCGGCGGCGGACGGCAGCTGGTCGCCGGGCTGCAGGTTGTGCGGGGTGGAAGTGTCGAGGGACCAGATGCGCGCGGTGTGGTCGGCGCTGCAGGTGGCGAGGTGGCGGACGTCTGGGGAGAGCAGGACGCGGGTGATGTAGGTTGAGTGGGCGGCGAATTTGCACACGGGGATGATGGAGGTGGTATCGTGACGCTGGATCATGCGCCAGACGTAGACGTTGCCCTAGTGTTGCGTTAGCTGCCATTCGTCGAATCTGCGTGGGATTGGGTTGGTTGGGTTGGTTGGGAGAGTGCGAACGTACGGCGTTGTTACCCGCGCACACCATGCTGCCGTCTGATGCGACGGTTACAGACGCCACGGACACATCGTCCTCGGGGATCAGCTGGTGCGAGCATTTGTTCTCGCCCAAGTCCCAGATGCGCACGTTGCCGCCGCGGTCACAGCTGATGAGCTCGCCTTGGTTCGGATGGATGACGACGTCGTTGACAGGCACGCCGTGGGTGTAGTTGCGCTGGACGTTACCGCTGCGTGTGTCCCAGATCTTCACGGTCCCGTCCTCAGACGAAGTGACGAGCCATTTGGACTCGCAGTGGAACGCGACGCCGGTGATGTTGGACGTGTGGCCGTCGAAGGTGAGGATGGCGTTTGGGTTCGTCGACTTGATGTCGTAGAGCTTGACGGTGTGGTGTCCGGCGGCGGCAAGGTAGCGTTTGTCCGGCGATATACATAGACGATTGACTTGCGAGTCGGGGTGAGGGGAATCGTGCGGGAAGCAGATGCCGCTTAGGGCTTCCCAGAAGCTTAGATCTGGATGTAAGCGGGGTGATGAAAGGAATGCACAAACAATCAAGACATACCGGATCGTATGGTCATATCCGGCTATCAATGTTAGCTGCTTGCGAGCTGCGTACTGTGGGGTAGAAGCTCCGCACCTGTGCATAGAATGACCGACATTGTTCTATGATACTCTTTTTCTGTGATGAAGTGGAATGTTGAATCTTAATTAGTCTTCTTCCGGTCTCGAAAGCCACGTCTGTCTGCTGCACGTGCTGCGTGATTAGCACATGGTGAAAGCGTGGTTGTGTTTGCGATTGGCAAGAGCGCAACTGGTTGGAGTTGAGGTCGAAGCTCAAAACGCTCGGTCCACCATTTCAGCCCTACGAAGACAGCGGTCACTCATCCGGCCTAGACTGATGCATCTATGATCAGCATGTGATACACTCCTTCATCGTCACAATTGGCGTGCGATTCACATCTGTTCTCGATCTCATAGCATCGATCTGAATAAGCAGGTTTTGACACTGTGATTGTAAATTTATACTGAACCCAATTGCCTGCAGACTTTGTCGGTTCGCATGTGGAACTGATGCCGTACCCGCAGGTTGGAGCTATCGGGTACGGCAGCAGAAGAATGCACCACAACCGACAACATATATAAAATCAACAAGTCCATGCATTAAATAAACTACATGTTCAAAGTAACTCTATTCCTGATCCGCTCTTTCATTCTACAACTTCGCCTTCTCCACCCTCTTGAACAGTACATCGCTATCGGGATAAGGATCGACTGTGATCCTGTTAAGCGGGTTCAGCTCACTCGCCCTGTAGAACATGTCCTCGTAAACCTTTCCATCCTCGCGTCCCAGCGAGCTGTCCAAGACCCAGTCATCGAAGCCCCAGCTGTCCACTAGCCTGACAGCATGCGGCCTGATGTCCTTGAGCAGCTGCATAACCGCCTGCGTGCGAGCAAGCTGAATCTGCAATTTACTGCAGGCGCCACTGGCGTAGAACTCGGAACCCTCTTGCTCGAGAGTGTGCAGGGCAAAGAGGCGGAAGAGCTTCATGAGTACGTCTAGGGTCTCCTTGCCGACCTTGCCCTCGGCCTCGATCTTCTTAAGCGCGGAAAGGTTGTTCTTGACGACCATCCATTGCGCGTGGGCCTTGGAGAGGCGGTAGAAATCGACGAGAAGGTCATTCCAGGCCTTCTTCTGTTCGTCGCGGTGCTTGCTGGCTTCGAAGGTCAGGAAAGATACGCGCCATGCGAAAGCGGCGACAAGATCTTCATTGGAGCCGATGATGTCGAAGGCGCAGCCGATGGTGCGGCGCTTGTGGAATTCTGTGAGGATGGCGGTGGTGTCGTTCGTGGGCTTCTCGTTGTTGAGAACGGAGCGGGCTGACTTGAGAAGCTGCAGAAACAAGATTAGTGGGAGAGAATGAAGAGCGGAGAGAGTTGACATACATAGCGTGCGACCTGCATGGGTCAACATGTAGTTGTCGCCTTCCCAGGTAGTAGTGGGGAGGTAGTCGGCATACCAGGGGCCGATACCGCTAAAAGTTGTTAGTACTAAGCCAATCAAGGATGATGTTAAGAACTTACCTGAAGCTGGAGTATCCGTGGCCGCCGCAAGCTCTTCGGCAAACCTCAAGACCTTCGGCAGCGATACTGCTGCTAAGAGACTTGAGCGCACAAGAGGAAGCGTGTAGGTCTGCAAGCAAGTCGCTTCCTGCGTTCGTCTCCTCAGGTCCTGCTCCGCGAGAGCTCTTCTTCGCCTCTTCGCCGGCATTCTGCACTTTCTTCTGGTTCTCCTGGTACATGTCCATCATTGACTTTCCAGTAAAGTGAAGGGCGAATGTTGCAGCCAACAGGGGGAGAAGTCGAATTTGCACCATCGTATAGTTGAGAACCGGGGTCTCAGCCTCCCCAGCTTGCGCGTCACGGTCCTGGAATTGGCGACGGACGGCAGCATATCTTGTAGCAATTGTAACACCACGAGCAAGAACGGAACCGGCTTGCATGACAATGGTTGATCGGACCCATGTCAGGGTGCCGTACACGAGGGTTGGGGAACCACGACGTTGGAACTTGTTCGTCTTGGGATCCACATGCGAGTACTTAGCCAACATGCTAATGTGCGGCACTTTGACCTGGTTGAACAAAAGGAATCCGTTGTCCATGGTGTTGTAGCCGAACTTGGGACCAATGTCTCCAATGTGAATGTTCTCAAGAGGCTCATGAGTCTTCAGGTCACGGATCTGTACGCAAAATGGTGTAGGTCCGTAAGACTTGCCGTTGATGATGAGCTGAGCCATTACGACGGCATAGTTTGCAGTACGACCGAGAGATCCAATCCACCACTTACTTGCTGTAAGGTGAGGTGAGTGGATAGTGAAGGTCTTGTCATCTGAGTTCCAGGTAGCGGTGGTTTCCAGTCCACGAACGTTGGAGCCGTGACCAAGTTCGGTTTGAGCGTAACATCCAATGATCTTATAGTCGTTGGCCTTGGTGAGCCACTTTTCTTGCTGTTCTGCGGTGCCTTGACCTTCAAGCGTGACCTGCTGAAATAAGTAATATGCAGGGGTGTTTTGACGAGGCGACTGACCTTGAACATACTGTCGTGAAGACCGTATGGGCCAGGCTCACCAATGAGCTCAGTAGCTTGCCGGAATTCCTCGAGATTCCAGTTGTGTTGCCTCTTCAAGATTCTCAACCTCTTCTCTCGCGCCAAAGCTCTTTCGAATCGATCTGTCCCTTCCCATGAAGTAGTTTTGTGACTTGTCAAAGACCTTTTCCGCCTTGAGAATGCTCAACAGCTTGTGCTTCCTCTCAATGACCTCTTTGGTGTGGAGCAGCTCCTCCAGCTGCTGAACGGGGAATATTGGAGCCAGCACGCTCCGCCGCGAGCAACTCATGGCCTTGAGCGCCAGAGGGCTTTAGTTGCTTAACCCAGTCTGGTGTCTGACCCATTGTGTATGATGCAAAAAATGATAAGATGTAGATGGAATGGAAAGAGATGAAGAACGATTGTTTGAGAGATGAGAATGCACTACGACATTGACCGAGGATCTGGAGCTATGATGTTTCGATGTTGGTCAACTAGTCCGGTTCTGGGTCTAGCTCTCTGATGTACCGAGGTCGAACGCGGAATTTGGGTCGAACCTGGCTGCACGCGTCGGCGCAACACAGATCATTCATCGTACGAAGCAGGTGAGCCGCGGTCGTATGGTGTCGTAATGGAGAGCTGAGTGCTTTCGTGCAGGGAAGCATCTGACTCGCGCACGTCGTGCATGTGATCGTGACTTGAAAGTTCATCGTGGCTCGAAAGTTCAGATTCGGCTTGCGATAGTTTCACGGCGAATTCATGCTGTATGGTCCGAAAGCATATCGGATGCCTACCCCGAAGAGTGCAGAACAAAGTTGAAGTAGATAACTCAACAGGTGCTGCAAGGATCTATGCGCGCTGTGACTAAAGTTTGATCACGATTTGAGTGCGACCGAGTTGAGTATGTATGAATGGAAAGCCCTCAAAGCCCTTAATAGCGGGCTGATCAGATACTGGGTCTCGTCAGACTCACATTTAGTATGGAAGCTGGTCTCCGACAGGAAGTTGGAGTTTTGCCATGGCAAGCCATGGTAACATTTAGCCAAGCCTATCAGGTGTATTCATCATGTGGCCGCAAAAGGAGCGACGATAGTTCACAGCCTTCGGGTGGAGAGGCGCGATGTCTCGGAACGGTGCGCGGAATCGCCGTTGGAACCAAACGCCTTCCAAGTATGCGATGATGTCACGCGAAGTGGCGCGCGCTATCAAATGCAGTCGAAACATTCGATTGCGCTGAACATGTCCCATCTGGACAATGTTCAGATAGTCGCTAGGGTCAATTAGCCGACATGCGTAGTGTTGGTCGGCTCGACGATACCCTGATAACCAGGCCTGGACTTCTGGAGGATTGGCTGGAGCGTCCTACCAGGCGCCGGTCAGCACAGGTGTTCCCGTAGGCGGGAGGCTGTTTCTTAGATTGGCCGTGCGATGGCACGCGAGCTGTTGCAATTCGAGCGGAGAATGCCGCCAGTTGCCTGGGGGCGCATGCACCGCCTCACGGATTCCGGATGCGCCCCAGCGAAGGGTCTGTCCCAGGGCGCGTAGTTGCTCACACAAACGAGCGGAAGACGGAAGACCAAACAAGAGGCAACGGCAGGCGGCAGAACCTGCGCTGCCGGTCGTCATCGTGTCGTTTCGGGCCTCGCCTTAGCCACAACCGCGCTAGCAGTGGAGCTACTGCCTCGCGCTGTCAGTTCGCTGAGTAGGAGATTGAGAGCGTCACTCGTACTCACCCACTACTGTTATCCCTCCCACCCATTCCCTACAAACTGCCCGCGAGCCAAGCTTGCAATTCTTTCCCCGAAAAAAGACCCTGAAAGAAGCGAGCTCCTACTGGCACCCTCCCCCTCGGCATCAATTTGTATACACTTGCATTGTTGCCGTGCGCTTGTCTTGTTGTCCCGCGACACCCCCACAACACCATAGCGCCGCATCACAAATCTATGGCCCGCGCGCATCTCTCCCTCACCCTCTCACTTCTCCCGCCTCTTTTCCCACGAGTCCTCGTAGGAACCGGACGCCATGGGTCAAACCCTCTCAGAGCCCGTCGTCGACAAGGTAATTCGCACATTGCATCACCCCGCCCCCGCACCTGCCGTCTGCTGTCTGCTGCCGTCCGCCTCCCCACGGCCGCCTGCAGACCACGTCGCCTTTGCGCACTCTTCTCATAAGGAATCTAATGCTAACCTCCCTCTGCCGTCCAGAAATCAGAAAGCGGCGATGGCGACTCACTCATCTTCGGCACCTCGTCCATGCAGGGCTGGCGGATCAGCATGGAAGACGCCCACGCATGTCTGCTAGATCTCCAGGCCACGACCGAGGGCGGCAAGCCCACCGAGGCCGATAAGCGACTCGCCTTCTTCGGTGTCTACGACGGCCACGGCGGCGACAAGGTGGCCATCTACACGGGCGAGCACCTGCACCAGATCATAACAAAACAAGAAGCCTACAAGTTCGGGAGACCTTAAGAAGGCCCTGCAAGACGGCTTCCTGGCTGCCGACAGGGCCATTCTGAGTGGTACGCAGTGCCGCAGCCAATCTGCAAACTGACGGGCTGACTCATCGCGCAGATCCCAAGTACGAAGAGGAAGTGTCTGGCTGCACCGCCACAGTCGCTGTTGTGTCAAAAGACAAGATCTACTGCGTATGTTTTCTCCCATTGTATCCACTAGACGCTGACTTACGCGAACAGGCCAACGCTGGCGACTCAAGAACCGTCCTCGGAGTTAAGGGAAGAGCGAAGCCTCTCTCCTTTGACCACAAGCCGCAAAACGAAGGTCAGTCACACGTTTCCGTTGCAATAAATACCACATCTAACAATTTGCAGCCGAGAAGGCCCGTATTCAAGCAGCCGGCGGTTTTGTCGACTTCGGCCGTGTCAATGGCAACCTCGCCTTGTCGCGTGCCATCGGCGATTTCGAGTTCAAGAAGAGCGCAGATCTCCCTCCCGAGCAGCAAATAGTCACTGCCTTCCCCGACGTCGAGATACACGACATCAGCGAAGATGACGAATTTCTGGTGGTTGCGTGCGACGGTTAGTCTTTTGAGCTCGCGCATACAGACAGCGCTAACGCATACATTCAGGTATCTGGGATTGCCAATCTTCGCAAGCTGTCATCGAGTTTGTCAGGCGCGGAATTGTCGCCAAGCAGCCTCTCCAGTCTATTTGCGAGAACATGATGGACAACTGTCTGGCTTCGAACAGTGATACTGGCGGTGTTGGTTGTGACAACATGACCATCACTGTTATTGGTCTTCTGCATGGAAAGACGAAGGAGCAGTGGTACGAGGATATTGCGAAGCGGGTGGCTAATGGAGAGGGTCCATGTGCGCCGCCAGAGTACGGCAAGTCTGAGAATCCAACCTCTCCTTCTACCGAGGCAGCTGAATAGTTCAATTTCTAATATCATTGTGCAGCTGAGTTCCGTGGCCCTGGTGTACATCATCGCATTGACGACGACCCTGATGACATCGACATGGAGCTTGATCAGCGCTTCCAGCCGAACCGCGGTATGGGCGGTCGCATCATTCTTCTTGGAGACGGCACAGAGATCTCGACTGATGCGCCTGACAGTGACATGTTTGATCACGAGGACGAAGACAAGGATCTCGACTCGCAGGTCGACAAATACAACAAGGAGTCGAACAGCCACGCTCAAGTCACCGAGTCGCCATCTTCTGTTCAGACGGAAAAGTCCGACGGCCCCGGTGAAGCGCTGAAAGAAGCTCAGGGCGACAAAAAGCCTGTCGCAGACAAGATATAGATTTGGACAACCAACCCTGTGGACAAATACGCCACTATGCGTGATATCAATCTCAGGATGTTGCGAATACCTTCTTCATAC